CCCACTCTATGATCTCAAACATTCACCCTACTTTGATTAGCCCTTTACTACCTCACAACCTGCACTGAACCAACTCAGACACAAACTAATGATCGACAACTGCTCCAAATCATCCCCTCATAAACTGACTCAACCAGTAACTGAACTAACGTGGACAGACACTGGCTCTGAGCAAACAAAACCAACCTTCAGCTACTCTATGTTACCTAAGATCAAGCAAATTTACTGTCTCTTCAGAAGATTATAACAGAAACCATCAAATTGATCTTACACCATGTAACAGTGTCCAACCTCAATCTCTGTTATTCCTACAATCTGGGTGGATGAACTAAACCCTCGACCCAAACTGTGAGCTCAACACATTAATCCAGCAACATCTCCTCCATCCTGTTCCTCCCAGTCTCCATTACTAATGACTTCTAATCTCAACCTCCAGTGTGAGCCAGAGTTAATGCTCATATGTGCTGGGATGTCAGACATCCTGCATGAAGTCTACATAGTGTTGCTAAACCTCTGGAGTGTGGAAAGGTGCAACACAGAAGGATATACAACCTTTGCCATCATCATAGTGTTCCCACTAGTACAGACTTACCTTACTTATCCTCCACGAATCCCAAGGTGCTAAAGAGTGAAACAGGGCATGAGCTTCAGTTGTCAGCATTTGGTTCCCATTAGTACAGACTTGGCTTTGGGTGACGATCATAGTCCTTGCATTTGATATAGCGCTTTTCACGTCTTCGGCATCGCAAAGTGCTTCACAGAATAGACCGTAAAGTGAATTGACCATACATTTGTGGGCGAAGCACAGCAGCCAATTGCACACAGCAGCGTCCCACAAACAGTCGTGGATTGAAAATGATCAATTTATTATTGTTGTTTTTTGGAGGTATTATTATTAGGTATGTGGAGTAAGGAAACTTGCCCAAGGTTTCGCCCTCCCTGAAATTGAACCCAGGTGTCTCGCTTGGAAGGCGAGTGCTTTAACCACTGAGCTACAGGACTCCACCGAACAACTGAGCTCAGCCCATTAATCACTTACATCTCCCACAATTTTCAGCTGCATCTCATCTCCAAACAATTTCTAGTTGGATGTCTTTGACCAAAATCTAGATGATGGTTTAAAGACTAACACTGCAAAATAATAATTCCATACAGTGATTCTGTCATCGCCATCTCAGAGACGAGTTACACAATACAAAGAAAAGTCAGACAGGTCAAAAGACATTCACATTAAACCGAGATGGATGGCAACAAGGTCTCCAAAGTTCATTGATGTATGAATACCAAGTGACCATCTGGTATGAACAAGCATTAAACCAGCGTTCAAAAGCAACACAAACCTGCACTGGCTCCAGGACAACCTCTGACTGAAGTGGAAACAGAACTAAATACTGAGAGAAGAACAAAGGCTAGAAAACCAAAAGTGATAACTAACTGAGTTGCTCCAGAAAGAGAAAGAAAGTTTAAGAAAATAAACACAAAGCAAGAAAAACACTATTGGGCATATGTGCAAGTGAGGACAGTTACCCTAATAAGTGTCCGTGACAAATATACATAGTATAAAAATAAAACAAGTTAACACAAATTTAGCTTAAAGTGTCTGATGTAGTAGCCATTACAGAGACCTGGCTACAAGTTGGGCTTTACTGGGAGCTAAAATTCCAGGCTGTAAGATCTTCAGAAAGGATAGGGAAATGAGGCAAGCAATATGGATAACATTCAAGTACAACAAGATAGAAATGACTTTAGTAAAGGTGATCAGGCCACAGAAACAATATGGGTAGAATTAAGGAACAGCAAAGGAGGGAAGACTCTGGTGGGAGTTGTCTACAGACTCCAGATAGAAACAAAACTGCAATTGTTTTTGAGACAAATTACACAAAAAAGGAGAAGCCAAACTGGCCAAGAGTTGCTCACAATTGACATGGAGAGCAGGTGGACAGTGATAATGTCTCTGAAGCTCACAAGACTGACAACACCCAAGGTTTTGACAACTTCCCTTCACAAACATTACTGACAATTTACAGCCCACCAGAAGGTTCTCACAAATACAGACTTAACTGATATAGTCCATAGAGAGACCAGCCAGAGCCAAGCTCCACCACATGCAAACTGACCATTTCACTGCTCTGAACCACAAGCCTCCAGCAACTCATCTGCTCCCTCTGGGTTGATGGGGTGTCTCCTTCCTCCAATGGTTGGATTGAGACTGAGCTCAGCCTCTGGGTTAAATACCCAAAGGTTCAGGTTTGACATGTGGCCAATGAGGGAATCACATTCCTCACAAGGCCCAGTTGAAGGTCCTCCCTTCACAGCTGAAACCAGTCATTATCATCACATGGGCTGTTTGCTATTGGCTGGTTCAGAGAATTCACAGGGTTCATATTAATTATTTTAGAGAATTCACACTTTTCTAGAATTTCCTATTGAATGGTTCAGAGACATCATCAAACACTGGACAGAAAGTGTGATAGAAAAGACTCCAACCCTAAATCCTGATCCATAAATCACCCTAATTTAAACCCAAACCCCTAAACCTAACCCTTACCCTAAACTTAATCCTAATTGGTGAAACGTCAGGGGGGAATTCCTTCTCATTAGAAAGCACCAAAACCTCACAGTGACGGAGAGCAAAACTGCGATCCACGGACCCCAGTACAAAGGACCAATCGGACCACTAACCCCTTCCTTTTCCCTTTCCTCTCTCAGGGAGGGGGCCTCCTTTCCTCCCTCCAGGTTGAAATGCACCAAGCCACAAAGCGACGGGGTGCTTGGCGGGGATCACTTAACCCCAAAGCAAGAAGCCAACTAAGGCCAGGAGCCCAATTACCTGGGGGTAAGCATACCTCTCTTTTCTAAATAAACCTTTCCACACCCCACCTCCAACCAACGTGGCACAGACTCCATGCAGGGTGCAGAAATGCAACCGAATATACCTGAGCGAGGAGGGTGGGCAACAGGGAACCACACACAGAGATAATTTTGTGAGCACAGTCAGGGTATTTTTTTAGATTAATCCAGACATACCACCATTTAATATTCTTAACAAATAACATCGAGCTCCGCAGAAGGCATCAAAATCCAGGCAGACAAATTAGCAGAGTTTTTTGACTGGCAAAACCGTCAGAGGGAACTCTCTGCAAATTGGCCAAAAACACGGAACAGCGGGCAAAAGAGACACATAACATTTTGATAGAACATGATAAAAATAATCTAATTGAAAAACAGGGAGCTCAGGTCAATCGGAATGATTGAACATAGGGAAGTGGCCTTCACAAAGAAATTAGTTTTAGCCCGGATCTGGACAGAAAGGAGAGGGATACACGAGAAGAAATCAATACATTTATCGGGAATAAGCAACAGGGCATCCCGGCAATGCCAGCCAATCAATTCAGAATAGAACAAGGAACAGTGAACAAAATCCACTGGATGAAATAAACAGCCCAGACCATGATTAAGCACTGGTCTGGGCATGTAAACTAAGAAGAACAGAGGAAAGAGAGGGAGAGGGATTTGACACCAGACGGCTTAGACGCCCAGTAAAACAGATTTGGGGAGAAGAAAATATATTTTTGTTTCGTATTTCAGGGATGTAAACCTATCCCACCCCTAAAACCTAACCCCCCCTTAAACCCAACCCCCAACCCTAACCCCTAAAACCCTAACACTAAATCCAATGTTGAAGGAATCTAGCCCAAAACCCTACTCCTAAAAAATTATAGAAAGGGATCTAAACCTAACTAACCCCTAAACCTGACCCAAAACCTAACCCACCCCTAAACCTAACTCCTAAACCTAACCTAACCCCTAACCCTACTCCAAAAAATTATAGTAAGGGATCTAAACCTAACCCACCTCTAACCCCTAAACTTAAACCTGACTCTAACCCTAAAAAGGGAGCTCAGGTTAATTGGGATGATTGACATAATAAATTATAGAAAGGGATCTAAACCTAACCCTAACCCACCCCAAAACCTAGGGAGCTCAGGTCAATTGGGATGATTGACATAATAAACTATGGTAAGGGATCTAAACCCAACCTTAACCCTATCGCTAAAGCCTAACTTCTAACCTTAAACCCTACCCTAACCCCAACCCTAATTACCGTAAACCCAACCCCTAACCTCACGCACCCTAAACCCTCACCCAACCGTAAACCCTACCTAACCCTAATCCCTAAACCTAATTTTGTGGGCAAAATGTAGCAGCCAAGTACACACAGCAGTGTCCCACAAACTGTCTTGGATTGAGCAACCAATTTTTTTTAAGGAATTATTGCCTCCAGATTCGCTGATCGACTAACGACCAGGTTCCTACTCACTGCTGGGTAAACAGAGGCGTTGGAGTAAGGAAACTTACCCAACGTGTCGCTGGGAATAGAACCCAGGTCTCTCGCTTCTCAGACAAGTGGTTTAACCACTGAGCTACAGGACTGCACTAACCCTAAACCAACCCTAATTGTCAGGCAAACCCTAACGAACCCTACTATAAACCTAACCCTTATCCTCAACCAGAACCCAACTGAGGAAAACATTCATGAGCTCGAACTAAATTTGTCAAACCTACAGCACGTGTTGGTCCAAAACTTCCTCAATTAAGGAAAACGAACCTATTTGTAAGGAGCATCACTGCCGCCCTGTGGTCTCCTGTGGTAATGCGACCGGAAAAACATTACATTGGATAATCAACGCCCTCTGGTGGTGGAAATATGTAACGCCGTGACCCCGCCCCACACTGTGACCCCGCCCCCACACTGTGACCCCGCCCCCACGCCGTGACCCCGCCCCCCACGCCGTGACCCCGCCCCCACGCCGTGATCCCGCCCCACGCCGTGACCCCGCCCCCCACGCCGTGATCCCGCCCCACGCCGTGACCCCGCCCCCCACGCCGTGACCCCGCCCCCCACGCCGTGACCCCGCCCCCACGCCGTGACCCCGCCCCCACGCCGTGACCCCGCCCCCCACGCCGTGACCCCGCCCCCACGCCGTGACCCCGCAGTACTAAGATGGCGGTACCCTCTGTGCTTCGCGCGGGGTTGTTCCGGCAGCGAGTTGCCATCGTGACCGGCGGCGGCAGCGGCATCGGGGCGGCGGTGACAGCGGAACTTCTGCAACTGGGTAGGAAACCCCGGGGGGTGGGAGTGAGACAGGATAGTGCGGTTAGATTTAGTGGCTTTTGTGGAGAAAAATCTTAGCGTAAAGCTGATGCCAAACGGTCTGTTCCTGTGCTGTGATATTCTGAGACTATTTATATTATAACAGTGATCAGCACTGTACACTATGGGACCAGACCACTGCGCTACAAGTTCAGTTGTTCCTCCCCACCTCCGCAACATCTCCGGCTCCGCCACTGTCTCACCGCCGAGACCCTCATACTCAGTCATTACATCGAAGCTCAACTTCGCAATCTCCCGGTTTGTCAGCCTCCGCCCTCCATCGGCTGCAGATCATCCAGAACTCTGCAGCCCGTGACCTCTCCTGCACCAGACTCCGCGACCCTATCACTCCCGTCCTCTCCTGACTCCACCGGCTTCCCATCACACAGAGGATACAGTTCAAGATCCTGGTCCTCGCTTTTAAAGCCCTCCCCGACCTCTGCCACCTCCTCACCCCCTACCAACCTGCCCACTCCCTCCGCTCAGGGGGCTCCAGCCCTCTTCACGTCCCCCGCCCCACCATTGGTGGCCGGGCTTTCAGCCACTCTGCTGGAACTTCATCCCGGAGTCACTCCGCCTCATGCCGTCCCTTGCATCCTTCAGGACCATTCTCTTTGACCTTGCCTTCGGTCATCCTCCTTTCCCCCCCACCCTCCCCGACCTCTAGTTCAGGTCTGAAATACAAATTGTCCTGCGCCTTGGGACGTCCTCCCGAAGTGAAAGATGCTTTACAAATGTAATTTTGTTGTTGTACTTCTAAGAGTAGACGTCTTATGGTTATGATTGAATCTTCTCAGAGTGCAATGTTGTGATTGCATCGCGTCAGGTGGAGAGGTTGACGGAAGCAGCAAAGAGATTTTCCGCCAACATTCCCACTTCCAATCCTGCAAAAGTTACGCCAATCCAGTGCAACATTCGTAACGAAAATGAGGTAATATTAACCTCTTGAGATTGCTTCAAATTATCAGAAGCTACACCAAAACTTTGCTTTGGAATTGAATAGGGACAGGGCCTGCCCATGCTTATTGATCTATTGATTCTCATGAGGCAAAGTTCTTTGTAAATAAATCTTTGATCTTCAAAGGGACACAATTTAAATACCATGTTGGAATGGAATGGGAAGCACACTCTCTCCCTGGAAGAACGCCTCCTGCTCATTTAATTCCGGAGAGTAGGCAGAGTAAGTGCTTGGGGACCCCAGTGTGCATTGAGTAACTGCTGGAGTCTAACCAGCTGCAGCTACACAGCTTGCCATTGAGAGCACCGTCCAGCAAGTTTCACTGCTGCTTGTCCCAGCTAGGACCACTCTACCTTTTAGGGCTTTGGTTGCAGTGTTTTAACAGGAGCTGAGTGGGGAGAATCCCTGAACCTCCAAGTCCTTTGAATGAGCCGAGGACATTTCAATGGGTCGGTGACACACACAAGTGGAACTCTTAGTCTGGTTTGTAGACTGTTAGTGTTTTGAATACAGAAGTCCATTATCAGAATCAGCAAAGCTCTTTCAAGGAATTGTTCAATCTCACACATTCTTTGGGTTTACTCTATTCTGATCTAATTCTTTTTGCTTAGGTGAAGCATTTAATAAAAAGTGCCTTGGAATTACACGGGAAAATTGATTTCCTCGTGAATAATGGAGGTGGTCAGTTCCTGAGTCCGGCTGAAGCCATCACTGGGAAAGGCTGGAACGCTGTGATTGAGACCAACCTGACTGGAACATTCTACTGTTGTAAGGAAGGTGAGTCTTTCAATCTTTCATTGGGAGAGGGAAGTTGAGCCCTAAACCCTATTCCTTACAAAAACTTCATAAATAATATTTACATTTTATAATTCTTTAATATTTAAATTCACTCATCCTTTGATGTTGGGAGGACGTCTCAAAATGCTTCACAGCATTCACTGTAAAGTGTGGACTGTGTGTGTAGTGAACACGATAGTCAATTTTTTCACAGCAATGTCACAAATGGGTCACATTCTTCATCACAATCAGCTGTGAGTGTCACCAGCTGCTCCTCATGGCGAGTCAGCCTGAGACTGGCCACATAGGATAGAGGATCAGCCATCCCTCCACACAATGCGATTAGCTGGCAAAAAATTAACAAAATCATTTTGTGGTTTACCTGAATAGAAATCACTGTTCCCTTCAAATGTGAGTTCTTTGATGTCCAAGGATCAGCAGAGCCGTAATTCTATCAGCAGATCCAAGTCTCGGCATTAGCTGAAGTTCACTCCCCATTTAGTCAACACGAAGGGAAGATCTTTACAGGATAGCGTGTAAGGCTGTGATGGCAATTAATCTGTGCCCTTTGTTCTCTGCTTATTTTGTTTCCATTTCAGTTTATAATCAGTGGATGAGAGACCACGGAGGGGCAATCGTCAACATTGTTGCTGACATGTGGAAGGGTTTCCCGGGAATGTCGTAAGTGTCAAACAAATAGCAGTTGCGTCTGCGTTTGGGTTATTCCTTTTTAGAATAAACTGAAAATTTTAGAACTTGACGGGGGTGGGAGGGGGGCCAAGATTCAATGAACATCTGAGGACTGAGGCAGGGGACCCCACATTTTTGGGTGGCGGGGTGGTCCTCAGTTAGTGGGTTTGCAGCATGTGGTGCAGAGCTAGCTGAATTCCATCAGTTTAACTCAGTTGATTGGACTCTTTTCCTGGTTAGGTCGGGTTCAAGCCCACGTGGGAATATTGAGCTCGCAATGTAAGATGACACTCCAGTACAGGGGGAGTGTCGCACTGTCAGAGGTGCTGTCCTTTGGATGAAATGTTAAATCGAGCACTCAACTGTCTTGTGTAGGTGGATGTTAAGGTTCTTAAATGTTATTGAAAAAAAGGAGGGACTTTTTTTTTCCAGTGATCTGGCCAATGATGCTCCAGATTACAGCTATGTGTGGGTAATTGCTTTGTGCGAAAATGGCTGCTGCTTTTGCCTAACTCAAATGATATTTTTGTAGGTAAATGCAGCAATGTCCCAAACATAAAAACAATTATCTGATGTGCTTTGAGAAGTTTTGACATAAGGTGCTGTAAAAAAATGTGAGTTCTTATTGTAATTTGTTTCAGACATACAGGAGCTGCAAGAGCCGCTGTGGACAATCTAACCAAGAGTTTAGCCATTGAATGGGCTCATAGTGGTGTGCGGGTCAATGCTGTTGCTCCTGTAAGTATTTTTTTGTTGGTCAGCCAGTTATACAAATGTAATCTTGTTGTTGTTATCTGACATACACAGAAACTCATCACTGCTTGGTATCTAAATTAAGCTGCTTAAGAAGACTAACTTCTGATCAAAACCAAAAAAGATTACAGGAAGCAAAGTCTTTGTTTAACTTAAAGAAAGCCATTAACAGGTTAATAGGTGACCAGGGCCCAAACAGGCACGTGACAAGATAACTCTAAAAAAGAATTCCACATATAATATACATGCTTTCTGTTTCTTCAGGCAAAGATATTCTCAAGGGTCTTTACCCTGGCTGGTGGGATCTGTGTACATTCCTCAGAAGCTGAATGGTGGGGAGGGCCAGATGTCTGTTAAAGGTGTGGGCGTGTACTGGATGATCATTTTCTGACTGTTCCAAGCCTAGAACCTCAAATTTGAGAAAATCCCTTTGACGGCGGGTCTCTCTGCTGCCATTCCGACATTTGCCAATTACGTTTCTTACTTTATCAGAACTATTGTTTTCACACACTTATCGCTGTGCTCTGCGTCCTCTCATCTTAGGCCATTGCTTACTCTTTAACAGGGAACAATTTTCTCAGAAACCGCAATTGCCAACTACGGGGAACTAGGACCAGAAATATTCAAATGCGCCATCCCAAAGATACCAGCAAAAAGGCTTGGTGTTCCAGAGGAGGTAAGGAATCAGAGATCCTTATTATAAAACTTCCATGTCGAGAAGGAGTCTCAAAGCGTTTCACAGGATTTTAGTGTGAAGTGTAGTGTGTAATTTGCAGGCGAAAGGTAAGTGAATGCAATCAAGGATGAAGCCTTGTGGTATATACCACAGGTGACCGGATGGCGCAGGAAGAAAAAATGATTATAGATGAAGTGATGGCAGTTGGTTAAGTAAGACACGAACCAACAACAAGATTACATTTGTATAGCCTTTCACGTCGGGAGGACGTCCCAACCAGGCGAGTGCGGGGCTCACTGAGGTGAATGACGGAAGAGAGGCAGAAAGTAAACCGACAATGCACTTTACATTGAGTAGTGTGAAATGTTTTGAGATATCCTTCTTACGTTAAAAGCGCTATATCAAATGCAAGGGGAATTATTATTGGGTGAATGATTTCTTCTATATTATTGCTGCAAAACCACCTAAAGAATGATAAAATGTATCCCATTTGCAGCAAAATCGAGTCTAAACTACGACTGCTTCTAAAGTTCTGTCTTTTTCAGGTTTCTTCGGTTGTTTGCTTCCTGCTGTCTCCTGCCGCCTCCTTCCTTTCTGGCGAGACAGTGAAAGTGGACGCTGCACAGAGTCTGTATCACAGCCCTTGGCAAATCCCTGGTAAAGAGAGCTACTTTCCCAGTCATTGAACTATTTATGGAAAATAGTAAAATGCAAATAGAAAAGCTATTAACATTCTTGATGGCCTCAATGGTAAAGGCAACAACAACTTGCACTTAAATAGCACCCCCGGGGAAGGATACTTGTTGGATCTTAGCACAATCCTTTCATTAGTGAGCAAACATCAGCCAGAGTTTCCATTCAGCTGTGATCTAGTGTGTGTGTGGCCATTAGAGGAAGGACAGTGATGTTCCAAAGCACAATCCTGAGCTGAACCTCCCCGTGTGAAATTGGCCCTCAAGCAGATAGTGAAGGGCCTGGGAAACATTCCTCCAGCACAAGTCAGCAACGTCAGGAGAAAATTGGTGGGAATGACAATGGTGAGAAGCATCTTTTTGTTGGGACGTCTCATCAGGCAGTTCAAGATCTAATCTTTCACTTTATTCCCCTCAGACCACGTGCGGTGGCCTTCGCCTCCAGATACCAGCAACACAACTGCTTTGGCCACTTTCCTTTCCAGGAAATCAACCTCAAAATTATGAAGTATTTACAGATTCTTCATTATGTGAATATCTTTTTGATATTATAATCAATTATTTCACAATAATTTGTGCTGTTTGTTATTTTTAGCTGCTGTGGTTAAACAAAGTGAAGAACAGAATTATAATTTCCTTTGAACTGATTCTCTTAAATTTCTTTAAATTCAACAAGTTGCATGAAGTTGTCTCAGTGTTTCCTGGTACATTGTACGCGGTGACATTAACTTCAATGTGACAGACCCTCTTTTGAGTATAGCCTGCCTGGGTATCTAATGCATAGAACGTAGTTACCACCTCACCAACCTCCACTGGCTTCCAATCTCTGCATTTATCTGAGGCTCAAACAACCAACAAATGACTATCCTTGGGATGGCTAAGAGAATAAGATAAGCAGGGTCTCCTTGTTGCTGAATGGGAAAGCAGGATGCGTTCCTCCAAGGAGAGGTGTGTGCATCGTGTTCTAACCATGTAAATTTCCACGTGGAGGGCTGCATGGAACACAGTCTGGTTTGGATCCTCTTTAGCACAACAATGGTTTTCCACATGTGCCAGATATCCAGGTTATGAATCATTTCCTGAAGCGCTTGAAGAGAGGGTGAATGTTTTTGGGCAGGTGCTTGTTGCGAGAAGCATGATATTCCATGTAAATGGTGTCATCTGCTCCTGATATTGAGCTCATTGCACCCAAGCGTCGAGAAACCTGAAGTAGAAAAATGAAAGTATGTCAACTTGGCAAATAATTCAAAGCTTTGCAGCCTGTAATGATTAGACTCAAAGACATTTTAATTTCTTTCTTTATAACCAAAACTTATCACCGTGTGAAGGGCAAGTTTTTGCTTGGCTCAGTCTGGTTCAAGCCCCATGCTGGAGAATTTGAGCTATTCTGGCCTCCAGGACTGGGGGAGGGGGGGGCATTGCATTTTTAGTAGTGCTGACCTTCAGGGATACAATGAAACCTAAATCAAGGCAATTTAGGTTCTAACTGAGACGGATTAACTCAGAACAAACCAAGGCCATACAATTTCATATGAGGAGAGGGAACAAGAGTGTCTGAGAGCCAGGCTGTACACCTACACTTAGCATTTTATTGGAGCTTTTACCCAATTACAAACTCACTCCACTTTGCAATATATTCTGTCATTTGTTGAACCCTCATTTATACATATAAAACATCAACTTTTTGTCCTGAAATAAATGTTGTTCAACAGCGAGTTAATATCAGCTTCCGGAAAAGTTACAGAAAGATTTCACTAACTTGGAACTTTGAGCCGAACTCTCCTGCTACCACCTCCTCTTCTGCGTCAAGGTCTGAGGCCGCGAGCACTTTCTGTAGCAGCTGCTGCTGTTCCTCTTTGGTGGAGAATTGCAAATCTTCCTCGTCCATTCCCACCAGCTTAGTAATTACCTGGATACAAGAAAGTGCTTGGTTTGAACCGACCATAATAAAAGTTATGCTCAGTTTTCATTATCAGCTGAGGTGCTGAATATCTCAGACTCCAAGCCACACAAAGAGCCAAATAAAGGAATAATTTGTGGATCAATTGGTCCTGGGGAGAGCACTTCATCAGATAGTGGCCTCAAATTAATTCTAAACTTAGAAAACTGGAATTAAAAAGACAACTTGGTTTGAACCGACCATAATGAAAATTATGCTCAGTTTTCATTATCAGCTGAGGTGCTGAGTATCTCAGACTCCAAGGCACACAAAGAGCCAAATAGCTGGAATATTATAGAAGTGCCAAATAAAGGAATAATTTGTGGATCAATTGGTCCTGGGGAGAGCACTTCATCATATAGTGGCCTCAAATTAATTCTAAACTTAGAAAACTGGAATTAAAAAGACAATCTGGCTGCTATGATTCAAACAAATAAAAATGCTAAGCTTAAATTTCAAGATAATATAATAATCCTCGCATTTGGTCGAGCACCTTATCATTTCAAGATGTTGAAAGAGCTTTGCAGAATTTTACTGTTTAGTGTAGTAACTGCATTTTGTAAAAAGCAACAGCCAATTTATATAGAGCAACATCCCACAAACAGCCATGAAGAGAAAGACCCCAATTTTTATCTGGGAGATTGTTGGCCATGAAACCAGCAATACAATACTGAAACAGGGTTAGTATTCAGTCCCATCATATGTGATCAAAATTCAGCAAGTTTTCTACCTTGTGATAATGATTACCAAAATCAGTTACCATACATTTTCTCCCTAGAAAACATACTGTGCAATAAATTGTTTAAACCTGCTTAGGACAAAAATTAGATATCATCTGTAAACCTGCAAAATATACAGTATAATTCCTGTACCATTAAAACACAAAAGAGGGAAAGAGTAGGGAACAAGATTAATAATAATAATAATAATAATCCTTACATTTGACACATATGTCATCAAAATGTCTGAAGGTGTTTTGCAGGATTTACTGTAAGTGTGAAATGTTTTCTAGGTGTAATTTCTATGATCGTTGAACATTATTCAGGCCTTGGAAGAGCTTTGCTCACTGATTTAGCAACCACTACATTTTTTGATCTTGATACCCATGTGGAAGGAGAAATTAAACAGCTGATGCAGTCAGACCCTTGGTATGACATCAGTCCAGATACCATTAAGGCCAATTTATCCTTTTCAACAGGTCATCGAGTCACCTCCAGGATGGGGAACGGGCAGGAATGGTCACTTGCAATGTTTGACTAATTCATGCTTGTAATGAGGCAATGATGAAATGTTACACGACACAAATTGACTTCCATTCCTTTAGATTACAAATGTACCTTAAAGCTGTATCCTGGTCCACCAGGAACCTCTGCCTTTTAGCCGAGTAAGCCATTTCTTGCGTATCCTGAGACACCAGAGAATAGAAGAAGGCGTTGTACTCTTCTGCGATCATGCCTGTGCAAAATAGGCAAACCAACTAAATCAGAGCTAAATAATGGCAATGTCAGCCACAAAACCTAACACATTTTGAGTTGATAAAACTATTCTGAGGCCAACACAATTTACAGGTCCTAAATTTAGAGATCCAATCCAAGTCAGTAAATGCAAAATAGTGAATGATGTATTGGTCACAGCCTTAATTTGTGTGTGTCATCCAGCATCGGTGATTGGAGCTTTAGTTTATTTACTAATCACTATTCATAGGAACAGGAGTAGACCATTTAGCCCATCGAGCCTGTTCCACCATCTAATTAGATCATGGCTGATCTATATCTTTACTAGAATTTCAAATCCAATTTCCTGCTTTCTTCCTGCATCTCTTAATACCCCGACCTACCAAAAATCTGTCGATCTCTTTCTTGAAGGTGTCGATGGATTCAACATCCACAACCTTTTGGGGGAGAGAGTTCAAGATTTCTATCACCCGTTGAGTGAAAAAATTTCGCTCTTAAATGGTCTGGTTATAATTTTAAGACTATGCCTCCTTGTTTTGCATTCCCCCAACATAGGAAATAGCTTTTCTGCATCTACCCTATCAAATCCCTTTATCATCTTAAAAACCTCTATCAAATCACCCCTCAATCTTCTAAACTCGAGGGAATACAATCCAAGTTTACGCAGCCTTTCCTCGTAACAACCCTTTTTGGCCTGGTACCATTCTGGTGAACCTGCGCTGCACCCCCTCCGAGGCCAATATATCTTTCCTGTGGTGTGGTACCCAAAACTGTACGCAGTACTCCAGGTACTTCATGTGCTTGGCACCAGAACGTCAAAGTCGAACCAGCCTCTGTGACGATCCAAGTAATCCAGTTCCTGAGTATTCCAGGACACTACTAATGACATCCCAGCCAGCCTGGCTCATCACAGGGACTTAGAGACCAGGGAATTTTTCCACTGAGAGTCTATTAGCCTTGCAAACCAAAGCCCTAATAAATAGGGTGATCCTAGCTGGACAAGCAGAGGGAAAGCTTGCAGATAGTGCTCTCAATAGCAAGTTTATGGGGTTTTAGCCTCCTATTCCCTTCTACTTTATGAATGCATCAAGTTTCCTCTGAAATACTTTTTTGGACCAACAAATGGAAACAGCCTATTAACATCCATTTGATAAAATCCTTTCATAATTTTAAACACTTCGATCACCTCTCAATCATCTTATAATAATAATCATCTCCAAAAAGAAAAGCTCCAACTTGTCAGCTGTATCCATTCAAACCTATTCACGTCCTTGTAAATCTACCCTGCATTTTCTCTAATCCTACAATATCCTATAATAGAATCAAAGAAACTTACAGCCCAAAAGGAGGCTATCAACATCACACTCCCCCGCTCTTACCCTATAGCCCTGATATTTTTCCTTTTTAAATACCAATCTTTAGAATACCTACCGAGACTAGAACACTACACAGTACTCCAAATGTGGCCTAACCAAGAGTTTATATAAATTTCACATTGCTTCCCTACTTTTGTACATAAGGCCAATGACTATTTATTTTCAATCTGAAACCCAAGATTTGCTCCCCAGGATATTGTCAGTTTCTTTTTCCTTTGTACTCAAGTGAATCATTTCACATTTCCCTATATTTAATTTAGCACTCTATGTAACTATGTAAATTCAGCTGTGTGCCCATTCTCCCAGTCTATTTATGTCTCCTTGGGCTCTCCAGCAGAACCTGGACAGAACACGAAAACACATTGCTCACCCTTCTTTGCTCGCAGGACTCTCCCCAACCGTTGAGCTTCCTGCCGCCGAGATCCACCATGTGATGAAATCTGTATAAGCACATTGGCTTCAGGGAGATCAAAAGATGTGTCACCCACCTAGAATCATACAAATTACAAGGAGACCATTGAATCTAATTTGGTTTATTTTATTCACTGGAGCTGACTAATCCCGATTCCCTGCTCTTTCCACATATTTAATTTCTTTCCTCTTCATTTCCCTTTTAATGCTCTATGGACTCAGCCTCAATAGCCTCTTGTGGCAATGGGTTCTGTATTACAATAAACCTCTGCCCATGAAAGCTTCTTCTAACCATTCCTTTAACATTCCAAGTGATAATCCCAATCTCCTGCCCTCCTCCTGCCAATGTTCCCAGCAGTGGGAATACACTTTCAGCGATCAGGCGTTTCCTTTTCTCTTTACCTTTGAGATGAAAATGGTGTTTATTTTGGGATTGTGTGTGAAGTTCTGCAGAATCTGCATTCTTTCCCCTTGTGATGTTGGACCGTAAATGTAAGGTCTAAAAACAGAAACATGTTCCCAGGTTAGTCAGCCTCACGCTAACTATAACAATTGTAACCCTAATTGTCGTTTTTTTAAAAATACAGAAGTGACAATATCGAGTCCAGAAATAGGATCATGGAAATTCAGCAAGATTTTGCCATGCAGCTATTGTTTGGAGAAATGTTATTATAATACTTTCTCCCCACATATTGACAGCTGCTGCTGCCACTCACCTGTTTAACCGAATGGCGTACTCCTTTAGTGCAAATACATTGTCGGCAAATACAATGATCTTGTCATTTCTTCGCTCATGGAAGCGGATCAGAAACTGACAGGCACGGAATTTGTTGGGGTTCATCACATAAAGTAGCATCCGCTTCTTAGTCTTAATAGCAACATATTCCCGGTAAAACTCCGGGGACATGGGACACCAGACCTGCAGGTGAGAATGAGACATTCCCTGTAATTTGCACTTCAGTAAAAAATAAAAAAGGTAAACTTAAGCAGAAGAACAGAAAGCTAATTACAGTTACTAACTACACCCAAACCCTCTCAGGGCTAAACAGTAACATCCTATACAGTGCTTTGAGATGCCCTCCCGATATCAAATGTAAGAATTTTTATTAAATTTCACTTTCCATCTATCTATGTGCCTTTTAAGCGACTTACAGAGCCTTTGACAGTCACCGCACTGTATATGTACCATACGTGACTCACCTCAGCACACTGGACTTTCGCGATATACCCATTATTCTGTAGTTCCATCCAGTTGGCTTCGAAGAGTTTGGGTCCAATTAGAAAATTCAAGTCCACAATTTTGTCATCCTCTCTAACCAAGGTGGCTGTCAGCCCGAGTTTGCAATGTGCCTGCACAATTGTCAGCACTCGACGGAACATTTTTGCTGTAATAACAGTCCAACCAATCAAACACCAGGAAAACAAAGACAAATGGGAACTAGTGAGACAGAGTGGAGGAAGAATTGCGGGTATGAGAAGTAGAGGAACTGGTGCAGATGGACTGTACTTTAGGTTAAGTAGACATATTATGGGAGTTGATAAGGAGACACGCTTGCCTTCCTCTCAGCTCGAGAGACTCCCTGACAAGACTATGGGATTGAGCTGCTGTACTGATAGGATGGTGTGCGGAGAAGGAGGGAGGGAGCGGATGGAAATGGCTCGCGGGATGGATGAAACCATCCTCCAGGCCACATACCAATCTGACATAAAACAAGTGGTGATAATTCAGGTATTCACTGTATCTAGAGCCTAAAACCCAACCCTAACATAATGATTTGAATGTTCACTCTGTCTGCATAGGACTGAACACCTTACATTATATTGCTATGGTTACCTGGAATTGTATGTACTTCATCAAGCAGCATTAGCCCCCACTCCTGGCTCTTCAGCCACTCCATCACTCGCTCCGCTTCCCATGAACGTTTAGTTGTGTGTCCCAACATCGAGTAGGTACTGATGGCTATTGAACAACCAATAGGTTTGTCTTTAGCATCTGAAGTAAAACGACAGATCTGGCTGTCGTCTATGGTTGACCACATTTTGAACTGGGATTTCCACTGCTCCACTGACACAGCAGAGGTGCACAGGACCAGACAGCGTTTCCGAATCGTACAGGCAGCCGTGACCCCCACCAAGGACTTTCCAGCACCTAGTAAAAGATTCACACATCCTTAAGCCCGTCACTATCACTCCATGCTGAACGTACCATAAACTGAGAAATGGATGGCTTTGCAGGACGTGAGATACTGATGGGAATATTTGACCAAGAATTTCCTTGAAGTCAGACCCTCAGTAAGAAACTGCAGCAACACACGAGTTGAAGCAGGTGTTTCACAATCATATCCTAGGCCTCACGTAGCAGAGAACAAGAAAGTCCATCAAGCTTAACCTGCCCATATCCTGGCACAAAAATGAACACTTTCCTGTTTCCGGTCCATTCAGATCCAGGCTCAACAAGATAGAGTTGGAGAGAAACCAAAGGCTTGAGTGAATTTTTTTTAAAGTAGTTTCTACAGAGGCAATTAAATTAGTTCTCAAATTGGAAAAGTATCGTGAGTGGTTCATTGGTCAACCTTGGAGCCCACCTGGTAATGTACAGATTACACATTACACCTGGTAATGTACAGATTTTTATGCACATTGTAATAATCCATGTATTTGATGTAACACCTTATCACATCAAGATGCCCAAAGAGCTTTACAGTAAAGTGACTGTATTTGTAGACCGATACCAATTTGAACACCAATTTTTTGAAGTGTCAGGATTATTTGATGTCCATCTGAATAGGCAGACAAGACCTCAATTTAATGACTCATTTGAAGATGGTATCTCTGACTGACAACACAGCAGCCCTCAACATTGCACTGGAATGTCAGCCTGACTTTAACCCATGTCTTTCTAACACAGAGCTCAGAGCTTCCAACTGAAGCCAGACTGCAGGTGAAATGTCTCCAGATGAATTGCAGGTAACAGTTGTCAGACGGCAGATCCTCCAAACAGCAATCAAATGAATAACTAATTGATTAGGAGGATTGTTAACTAGGACACAAGAATAAATGTTTTTACATTTTGAGTGTGGACCTACCACAGGGAAGTACAATGACTCCAGACCTGGCCCGCCCATTACCAAACATCTTCTGCAGACTCTTCTCCTGATAGGGCCGCAGCACTGCAGTTGGCTTCAGATCGATGTTAACATCGGGGTTGACGTTATCATTCCTGAAATCATATTCTGCTAGTAAGGGGTACTCCAGCTGGATGCAACATTTCTGCAAAACCTCAATCATTTCCTGTAGAAGAGACAGTCAACACAATACCGTTTACACAATCTGCAAGTTGAAATAGAGTCCCCAAAACATCTACAGGTACTAGCATCCAGAAAGGCATTCTCACAATTTCTTCCCCTGCTGTCTCTCTGCCTCTGCCTCCTTGGCCTCTCTGCTTACGATACAGTGGATCATTCCATCCTCCCTCATCCATTTCCATCGGATCATGTTCCTGGTTCAATTCCTATTTGACCCACCACCTCCTTCAGCTTCTCTAATGGTGTCTTTTCCTGCCGTTGTACAATTGCCTGCAGTGTACCTCGTGGCTCTATCCTCGTCCCCTCCTTTTCCTCATTTACATACACCATCTTGATAACATGATCCATAAACATGAGGTCTGCTTTCACATGTATGTGGATGACACCCAAATCAATTCCTCCTCCAGTTGGGACTCTTCCCCACCCGACTTCCTGCAGCTCAATAGGGACAACATCTCCTCAACTCCAGCTCCAACCTCCTCTACCTCTCTGGCCTATCTCTCAGCCTCACTAAACTTCTGCATAACATTGGCTTCTGATTCAATCCGCACATTTGATCCCCGTTCTACCTCACATTCAGTCTGTGACAAAAAACGCCTTTCTCCACCTCTGCTATATTGTTCGACTCTGACTCTGAAACCCTCATCCACACTTTTGTCACCTCCCATCTTGATTTCTCAAATGCACTCCTTGCTGGTGTCCCCAGTTCTATCACCCACAAGGTCCAAAGTACTCAAATCTCTGTGGCCCGCATCCTCATTAGCACCAAACTCAACACCCCAATCCTCCCAAGCTCTGCTGGCTCCCTATCTCTGAAAGAATCAATTTCAAGATCCTCACCTTCACCTACAAATCCCTTTACACTCTACCACCTCTCAACTTCTCTCATCGCTAAACTAGACTTCCAAAGCTCTCCTTACTGGCTTCCCTAGATCCATCCTCAACAAACGCCAACTCATCTAAAACTCTGCAGCCCACATTCTCTCTTGCATTAAGCTGCCCCACCCATTACCCCATCCTCACAAGGCTCCACTGGCTCCCACTGCCCCCAACGGATGAACTAACCTTCTCATTTGGTTCCCATTGTTCCCCCTCCTCTCCACACTTACCACAAAAACTTGCATTTATAGTGCTCTTCACGCAGGATAGTGTCTCGGAGTGCTGGAATACCTATTACCTTACCTTCAACTACATTCTTCCTCATATGCCCTCTGCTCCTCCAACCGTGGTCTGCTGTGCATTCCTCACTCTTTCAGTCTCCCCTATGGTAACTCGCCTAGATTCTCCTGTGTGGAACTCTTCCTAGATCTCTCGGCCTTGATCCTTCCCACCCTGACATCAAAACAGTCTTAAAAACTTCTATCTTTAACCATACCATTGGTCAACTTATTTAGATTCTCTTTGCTCACCTCTCCCTTTGAGACATTAATTCAACGTAAAAGGTGCAATACAAATACAATCTCTAATCTAATAACAGTAATAATAATCTCTGTGTTTTGTAATTATCTTGAATTTGTGCCTTCTTGTTATTGATCTGCTGACTCAGGAAAATAATCAATTACTAATTACTTTAATATAATACCTTCATATTCTTGACAAACTATCAGGATTTACCTCTTAGCTCTAGTGGGAACCTCTCAAGTTATCACCTGTTTTACTTCAAAGCTCACAGTCTGCATCTCCTCCTCCTCCTCCTCTTCCTTGTCCATTTGTTCATAAAACTCAAGCAGGTCTGCGGGGACATCTGGTTTATTTGAGGCCGTGTCAGTGCCCTGTGAGGTGGAGGGTCCATCACTCTGACTAGTTTTGGGCATCTGTGATGAGAGCACAATACAATGGCTTCACTCCTCCAAGGGACGGACGCTCTCTTATTATTTCGACAACGTACAAAAGCTTATTCCAAAATATAAGAATAAACAACAACAACAAGATTACATCTGTATAGCGCCTTTCACGTGGGGAGGATGTCCCAAGGCGCCGGACAGTGTACTGCATTTCAGACCAAACCAAGTGAGACTAAGAACCTGTGTGATCTAATGACGATAATGTTATAACTGACAAGAGTATAAATGAACACAGAATAAAGGAGGAAACCGATAAGAAAACACGTTAGGCAAGCCGACTGGGAAATTCATGAAGAAGTTAAAATTAGAGACATATTAAATAGAAAGATTGTGTTAGTAAATACTTTAAAGAGATGATTGGGGTTTTTAATAACAAAATAAATGTATTCCTCAAATGAGTCATGGACAAATTAGAAGGGTAAAACCAAGTTGGTTGACCAATAAAGTTATTGGAAGATGTTTGGGAGAAGGAGCAATTGTAAACCTTAAAACAGCTGACATTGAACAATAAAAAGATGGGTTCCTTACCGACATGGCTGACTTACTGGAGACCGTACCCAAGATGAGCTCAGGTTCAATACCTTCAGCACTTCGGAGACGACAATCTCTTATGACTGTTTCTTGTAACAGCTTCTGAATGACATCCGGATGCGTGCTTTCCACAAAGTACCTTATTGGTGCAAAACACAATCAACCTGAAGATGGGATCCACTTAACAACATTTGCTACCAGTAATTCCAGAAGTTCATCCATTTTATAGGATGAGTAACACCAATATCACATTCAAGAAAATTATTTGGGGAGGACAAGTTTGCAGGGCTACGGGGACAGCGCGGGGGAGTGGGGTTGATATGGAAGCTCTTTTCAAAGAACCGTCACAGACATGATGGACCAAATGGCCTCCTTCTGGTGCTGTGAAAGCTTGGGCAAGTTTCTTTACTCTACACGACTGATAATAATCCCTCAAGAATAAAAAACAATAATAATTTGGTCACTCAATCCACAACTGTTTGTGGGACCCTGCTGTGCGCAATTGGCTGCCGCGTTTTGCCCACAAATATACAGTCAATTCACTTAACAGCATATTCTGTGAAGCTTTTTGTGATGTCTAGAAGACGTGAAAAGCGCTATATCAAATGCAAGGATTATTATTATTATAATAATAATTCTATGATCTATGAGGATCTGCAAACCCACCCGCACCAGCACATGATTGATGGGAACTTTTAAAAGAATGTGGGAGGAATTAAAATAATTTGGGAAATAAGAGAGGGAAGAGGGAACTCAACTGAGGAAAAATGGAGCCATTTTTACTTTTAAAACAATTTTTGAGTGTGCACAATCCATGGTGAAGGTAAAAGCATGAACAGATCCTCAAAAAAGCATGAAAAGATCAAATAAAAAGGAAGCATAAGAGAATCAGATCATACAACATGTACATGAAAGTCTGAGAGATTGCAGTGAAGATTCTGCGGCGATAACATCAACAGGGAGCAAATGGGCTTTTTGTACATTATAATTTCCCTGACTTTATAAAGGGATATTGGTGTCAGCCATACACCCCCACCCACACGCAGTGTCAGCCCTGAACCCCCCCCCAAACACACACTGTCAGCCCTGTCCCCCCCAAACACACACTGTCAGCCCTGTCCCCCCCAAACACACAGTGTCAGCCCTGCCGCCGCGCCCCCCCACCACACACACATAGAGGGATGTTCACGTCCTCACCAGCGCTTTGGGACGTCCTCCTGACGTGAAAGGCGCTCTTTAAATGTAATTTTGTTGCTCCGATCTCAGCAGCTAACAATCACTCACCCCACAAAGAAAATCATCTTGTGTGTTTCTGAACATTCAAACTAATACACTAATGTTGAACTGAACTTATCTATTTGGAAATAACAGAGAAACTTAACCCTGTCCCTACCTGTTGTGTTTAAGCACCAGCTTCACCTTCCCATAGCTGACAGTGCAGAGCTGCGGGTAAAGCAAACTATCTCAGCAACCAACAACATGCATATACAGGGGGACCGAACCCCCCATCACCACCCCGTGCACACACACACACACTCCCCCCCCCACCCCGTGCACACACACACACACTCCCTCCCCCACCCCGTGCACACACACTCGACACTCCCTCCCCCACCCCGTGCACACACACACACACTCCCTCCCCCACCCCGTGCACACACACACTCCCTCCCCCACCCCGTGCACACACACTCGACACTCCCTCCCCCACCCCGTGCACACACACACACACTCCCTCCCCCACCCCGTGCACACACACACTCCCTCCCCCACCCCGTGCACACACACTCGACACTCCCTCCCCCACCCCGTGCACACACACACTCCCTCCCCCACCCCGTGCACACACACACACACTCCCTCCCCCACCCCGTGCACACACACACTCCCTCCCCCACCCCGTGCACACACACTCGACACTCCCTCCCCCACCCCGTGCACACACACACACACTCCCTCCCCCACCCCGTGCACACACACACACACTCCCTCCCCCACCCGTGCACACACACACACTCCTCCCCCACCCCGTGCACACACACACTCCCTCCCCCACCCCGTGCACACACGACACTCCCTCCCCCACCCCGTGCACACACACACACGACACTCCCTCCCCCACCCCGTGCACACACGACACTCCCTCCCCCACCCCGTGCACACACACACACGACACTCCCTCCCCCACCCCGTGCACACACACACACTCCCTCCCCCACCCCGTGCACACACACACACACTCCCCCCCCACCATCACGCACACACACGTTCACTCCAACATGGAGCTAATTCCCACAAACCTCTTAAGTTCAGGTGAGAATGTGGCAAACTATCCCAAGTTGGGAACTTGCCCACATGTTTATTTGTTTTTGTATTTATTTACCTGAATGAACTGTAAGATCCCGTCAGGAATAGAGGTTTTGCTGAGTTTCTGCAGATACTCTATGATATCGCTGGTCTGCAATCCCACACTCACAGCCGCGTACAGCGAATAGGCCGTCAGTTTGTACTCGTGGGCGTGTGAGGGGCGGCACACGGGCTCTGCGATCGCCACCAGGAAATCCTGAGCGTATTTGTACACCGGAGAGAAAGCCTCGAGGAAAATATGTCCGTCCGGCGCCTGTCCACAAAAACAGTTACACAACTGCTGAGCAATTCACACCGTCCGAAGCGATTAAATCATTTAATCCCATTTTCCTGTCTTTTCACAATACTCATTATCTCCAACATTCACAAACTCCTCATCCACTCATTTCGTCCCTAAAAAAACATTTTAATTTCACATTTTCACATCGCCCCAAAGAAACAATCGCAGATCCTCAAACCATCGACACCAGAGAACCGCTCCGACTGCCCTTTCTCTGCGGATTCACTTCATTATTTTAACAGATTCACCACTAAACCCTCAATCCGGGGAGAGAGGGAGAGGGAGAGGGGGACAGAGGGGAAGGGGGGGAGAGGAGGAGAGGGGAGAGGAGAGGAGGGGGAGGGGGGGGAGGGGAGAGGGGAGAGGGGGAGAGGAGGAGGGGGAGAGGAGGAGGAGGGGGGAGGGGGGGAGGGGGAGAGGAGGAGGGGGGGGAGGGGGGGGAGGAGGAGGGGGAGAGGAGGAGGGGGGGAGAGGAGAGAGGAGAGGGGGACAGAGGGGGAGGGGAGAGCAGGAGGAGGGGGGGGAGAGGAGAGGGGAGGGGGCGCCGCTGCACGAGCAGCGCCTCCCGCGGACGCACCACCCAGAGAGGCCGAGAGTCGTGGTCGTCCTTCAGATTGACGCGACTCCTATAATCTTTGGCGCCATATTCGTCCAACTTCGTCTCCGCCTCGTCCACCTGTTTTCCCGCCGCTGACGGCACCACCTCCGGACACTCGGCCCCCGGTTCCTCCTCCTCCTCATCCTCCTCCTCCGCCCGACGCCGCTTCACCCGCTTTCGGTCTGAGTGGGAGAAACAGACCGAGTCACCCCAACCCCAGGCCCAGGCCCCCCCCCCGCCCCCCCCGCTCCCCCTCCCCCCGGGCCCCGCTCCCCCCCCCCCCGGTCCCCGCTCCCCCCCGCTCCCCCCCCGGGCCCCGCTCCCCCCCCCCCCCGGTCCCCGCTCCCTCCCCGCTCCCCCTCCCCCCCCCCCCGGGCCCCCCCCCCCGCTCCCCCCCCCCCCGGTCCCCGCTCCCCCCCCCCCCCGGGCCCCCCGGTCCCCGCTCCCCCCCCCCCGGGCCCCCTCCCTCCCTCCCCCCCCCCCCGGTCCCCCTCCCCCCCCCCCGGGCCCCGCTCTAACCTCTCTCTTTTCTGCCCATCGTCACCAGCGAAGCCGCAGTGAGCGGCGCATGCGCGGCAGCTCCTTCCTGTCAGTAACATTGTTTTTGTGAAATCATCATCTTCATCATCTTCATCACTGTTATTTGGACTCTGAGCTCCGGAGGGGACGGGAAGTGGGAGATCGAAAGCACGAGATGGGTCATGAAGGAGGCGGCGAGACAGAGGCACTGCGCACTGGAGTTCCAGAGGATGGGGCAGAGTGGCTGAAGGCCAACCGCCAATGATGGGGTGGACGAGGCGGGGGACGTGAAGCAGCCAAAGCCCACTGAGGGGAGGGAGCGGGGAGGATGGTAGGGGGTTGGGAGGTCACAGAGGGGGGAGAGCGAGGCCATGGAGGGCTTTGAAGGTGAGGACCAGGATCTTGAACTGGAGTCCTGTAGCTCAGTGGTTAGAGCACTCGCTTTGCAAGTGAGAGACCTGAGTTCAATTCCAGGCAGAGGGCGAAACCTCGGGCAAGTTTCCTTACTCCACACAGAGCCTAATAATAATCCCTCCAAAAACAAAAACAATAATAAATTGGTCATTTTCAATCCACGACTGTTTGTGGGACATTGCTGTGCGCAATTGGCTGCCGCGTTCGCCCACAAATATACAGTCAATTCACTTTACAGTGTGTTCTGTGAAGTGCTTTGGTACGGCCTCCTGACGTGAAAAGTGCTATATCAAATGCCAGGATTATTATTATCCTCTGTGTGATGGGAAGCCAGTGGGTCGGGCGAGGACGGGGGTGATAGGGTCGCGGAGCCTGGTGCAGGAGGACACGGGCTGCAGAGTTCTGGATGATCTGCAACCGATGGAGGGAGGAGTTGGGGAGGCCGACAAGCCGGGAGTTTGCATAGTCAATCTTCGATATAACGAATGCATCTATGAGGATCTCGGGGGCTGCGGAGTGAGTGTGTTGGAGTCGGGCGATGTTGCAGAGGTGGGGGAAGGCAGAGCGGGTCATGGCGCAGATGCGGGGTATAAAGGATAGTTGAGGGTCAAACAAGATCCCAAGGTTCGGGACTGGCTCAGTGAGGGGGAGTGAGCAACCATGGATGGTGATGCTGTCAGCGCTTGAGGTGAGGAGGTGCTGACGGGAGCCAATCAGTAGCCTCGGCCTTGACGTTCAACTGAAGAACTGTACCGGCTTTTTTCAGTGTCGAAAAGCGCTCTGGGACATTAACCTGCATAAGGGGTGCAATATAAATGTAACTTGTTGTCATTGACAAATGGCAGGACCAACATTGTAATTAATAAGCCATCTTCAAACTGAGTCAAAGTTGATAGTCATGGTGAAGGACAGCGAGCTGGGTGAAGCAGAGTGGGGGAGAGCTTAATAGCAAAGACCCTTTGAGCCAGGTATTAATCTAATGATCCATTGCTGGAAGTCTAGTACGTCCTTCCGGAGATTGGGTACCCAAAACTGAACACGGTACTCCAGATGAGGTCTGACCATGTTCTATATGACTGGAGAAGCACTCCTTTTACATTCCGGACCTCTCATAATAAAGCCAGCATTCCAACAGCCTTATTTACTACTTCCTGTACCCGTGAATAAGCTTTTAATGATCTATTAATTTGAACCCCTGGATCTCTCTGCTCAACTGCTCTTCTAGCTTCCCCATTTTGGACCATGCTCCCAACCACAGTCCTTCTATCCCAAATATACCACTTCCAACTACCATAGTTCTGCCCACTCACTTGACCAATGTCTCTATTTTTAATCGCCTGTCCTCTGCAATTTACAGCACCTTCCAGCTTAACGTCATCAGCAAAGTTGTATACACACCTGTCTATTCCCGTATCCAGGTCATTGATATACAGGGTGAGAAGCTGGGGCCCCAACCCAAAGTGTGGTGAATACCACTCGTCACTGCTCACCAATCAGCGAGTTCCCTTTTATACCAACTTTCTACTCCTATCTCCCAACCAATTTCCTCTCCGTGACACAATATTGCCTTCACCTTCATTTAATAATCTTGTGTACCATCAGGAAATATTTTCTGAAAATTCAACCAAATGACAACCATTCGATTTCCACCTCTGAAATCTCTAATATTACAGTTTCTGTTGGATTTCAATTAATTGTTCCAGTTTGGTTATTTTGGTTCAATTGGAAAAAGCCAGTTTCAGCTCACTGTACCTCTCTTCTGAAAATGTATAAATTAGAAGGCTTCAGGTCTTGGGAATCCATGGAATGTCAAGGCATTTGTTAAACATTAAGTAAAAATGTATTCGTTCTTGGAAGAAAAATACAGAGAACAAAATGGACAGAACTGTGAAATAAATAGTTTTATTAATGCTCTGCAAAGTGCTAAATACCATAAACTCTCCTTGACCCACATGGATTTAGCTGAGAATAGTAACCTGCGCACTTTGACCTTTTGCAAGGACTAACAAAGTAAACTCATGTCTAGTCCTGCTGAGTTCATGCAGAATCAGATCAGAAACAATATGAGTACCGTAGCCACCAATATACACATTTCATAGAAACAGATTATTGGTTACAAACCAAATATAAACATGGCTTCATTTAAGCAAAAAAAGGTAGATTACAACAGGAATAATTCCAAAACAAATCAAATGTATCTTAAACATATTATACATTTATACAATTAGAAATGTAATACAGCCAAAAGGAACAATGAGAAGGGAACTCTGGCCTAGACTGTTCCGATTAAAACCGATCGAGCCTCACTGTGTATTTCAAACATCCAGCAGCACTGCCTTTACAGCTCCTACTCTTTCAATGAAAAGGATTAAAATATTTAAAACCAGACAACAATTGTGTTTGGTTTCCAATTCCCACTATCAAAAGTCTGCTCATATTGAACAAAAACAAAATTGGTTATAAAATGAGATATTCTGTTAATTTATTGGCCTTGGAAAGCTTGTTCAATCTGTTGGTGTTTGCACGTGGAATTGCAATATCAATTAAAATCACATTTGAAACTTGCAGTTTGTTTCAACATGTTATGCCTAATCCTAAAAAGTGTAATTTTCTAATGTGCATTAATCCAATGATTCAAAAGTAGGAGAAAATAGACTGATCAAAGTAGTTTAACTCCAAAATACAATAATGGTCATATTCCACTTCCATAGTACGATATCAGTTAGAATTACTGGTCATACTGAAACCAGAGAAGAGTCTGTATCAGGTAATGCTGGAGTAATGCAATGCAAGAAATGGGTGAGAATTCAAACTTTAAGAAGGCACCACACAAACAGTCTACAAAAGCAATAAGCAAGAACAGCAGGAAAGGGTCATTCATGCGTTTCTCAGACATTAGAATAGATAGACCGATAAAACTTATCGTGGAGTCTACAGTGGAGTCCTGTAGGTCAGTGGTTAGAGCACTCGCCTCGCAAGTGAGATACCTGGATTCAATTCCCGGCAGGGGGTGAAACCTTGGGCCAGTTTCCTTACTCCACACGCCTGATAATAATCCCCCAAGAAGAAAATAATTTGGTCACTTCAATCCACGACTGTTTGTGGGACGCTGCTGTGCGCAATTGGCTGCCACATTTCGCCCACAAATATATACAGTCAATTCACTTTACAGCATATTCTGTGAAGCGCTTTGTGACGTCTAGAAGACGTGAAAAGCACTATATCAAATGAAAGGATTACTACTATTATTAAAATAAACAATGAGAAATTATCTCATTGGTCAAGTAATCTAACTAGAAGCACAGATTAAAAGTAACCACCAAGAAAGAAAGAGGTTAAGAATAATGGTTTTAACCAGAGGATTGTTAGGGACGTGCAATGCCCTACTAGGACCATGACTGAGGCAAAATCCAGTATTAACTTTTAAGGAGTTCAATAAGTATTTGAAAAAGATATAATAGTGTGTGGGGAAAAAGCAGCAGAACGGAATGAAATAGAGAATTCTTTCAGAGAGCCAGCACTGGCATGAGGGACCAAATGGCTTCCTTCTGTGTGTAAATTTCTATGGTTCTAAAACTATAATTAACTCTCTTTTGGAAGGAAGTTAACAATCACATTGCTTTGTGAAAATATCCTCAGAAAGGGGATGTGAACAGTTTCTCTCTTGGCTGAACAGGCTCTGAGAACTCATTGGCAAATGCCAGTTAGATTTACGGTAATCCAAAGTAAACCTGTCCTTGGGTCTGGAATCCAGAGTCGTAGAAGAGAGGATGGACCCAAGATAGATGGACGTACCACACATATATCACACGTGCCACTGCACATGTACCAATCCCAAATAATTATTTCCATCCTTCAGATGAGACGATCAACTGATGAGATGTTAAAGACATATAGATAGGAGGTGAGATGGAAGGGCAGAGGGAGAAAGTTCAAAGAGATAATGGAATTCTGCCCGGTATCCTGGCCAACACTCCTCCAGTGAATTGATTATTCAGCTCTTGGCTGTTTGTGGGACACTGCTACGCATAATTAGACATTGGATGCGCTTTTCACCCACAGTTGCTACGCTCTACAGAGGGCAAACGTGGCAGATGATTTGCACACAGCAATATCCCACAAACAGCTATGAAGTGAATGACCAATTTTTATTTGAGGGATTGTTGGCCATGACAGAAGGAAAAGCTCTGTTCTCTTTTCAGGTAGCATTATGAGATTGTTAACGACCTCCTGAACAGGAGGCAGGACCTCAGTTTAACGTCCCATGAGAACAAGGATAACCTGCAGTTTTAGAGAAATTAGCAATAATTTTTATTATTACTATCATAATTAGACAAGCTAGAGCTTTTCAATCTTGAAAGAAGATGACTGAGAGAAAGGTTTATATTTTAAATGGGACTAAAATGTAAACCCGGAACAATACTTTTGGATGCAGAACAAGAGGACAACAGTTTAGAGTTGCAAAGGGCAATGTCACGATAGATACCAAGAAGTTTTTCTTTACCCAGAGGTTAATTAACAACTGGCAAAGAAAGGAAGTTCACTGGACTCATTTAAACAACAGCCAAACAATTTAAACTAATTTTGAACAAGAGATGGGAGTTTCTCATGGTGCCCTGGCCAACGATTCCCCAAATAAAATTAGTCATTCACTCCATGGCTGGTTGTCAGACATTGCTGTGGGTAACTCTGCTACTGCATTCACTTACAAAATTACAAAGTCACAACACTTTATAGTAAATTCTGTGAAGCACTTTGGGATGGCCTAACATTAAAGGCATTGTACCAAATGCAATGATTGATTATGATAATAATTCTTGCATTTGATAGTCATATCATGTCTTCGAGATGCCTCAAAGCGCTTCACAAAATATACTGTAAAGCGAATTGACTGTACAATTTGTGGGCGAAACATGGCAGCCAATTGCGCACAGCAGTGTCCCACAAACAGTCATGGATTGAATGACAAAATTACTGTTAAAATTATTATAAAATTATATTATTATTATCAGCTTGGGAAGAGAGTAGGATTGGTATTCTGGAAGGATGAAATCAAATGGACTGAATAGCTTTCTTCACCCGAACCAATCTTGTGATCACCTTGTTAGAAATTCAGCTGTTTTCTTTAAGAGAAAAATCTGAAGGGGACTAGGACATACTATTTCTGACATTGTGGCTGAATTATCCTGCCCTATGAATGAGGAATGAGAAGTACTTGAGCAGTGGAACGGAGGGTAATAAAGGTGAATAAAGTGCTAATAAACTCAACGGTTTTAAAAATGCAAATTGTATAAATTAGTGAAATCGTGAGCTTGACACATGAAAGCAAAACTTAAACATTTCGAAGTACCAATTTATAAAATAGTTACATTACATATTATTTTAAATGAATTGATGTGAATAAATGAAAAGAAACATTTAAAAATGGTTTTGCAGGTACCATCAGCCTCAGACTGCACAGCGACAGGATTCACAATATATCAACAGCAGGAATCTCATTGAATTTCACTAAATTGTAGATAACAATGTTGCATACAAAATATAATTGATACCAAGTTACCTGGAAAACTAGTGTTGCTCAGCAGCATTGCAATGGGCAGACAGGCTGAACAGAGGAAGAATATTATAAGCATCTGTAAGTCGACCATGAAACCAATTTCATTGCTATTCGATTGCGCATATTAGCAGCAACAAAGATCCATAATGTGGTTATTATCTCAACTTATTGCAAGACTGGTTAGTTCTGTTAAAAGGACAGCAGGTGGAGAGAGGAACTTCTTTTGGTTTATGTTACACTAGTATCCCGTTAACTAATACTCTCTATGGTACTTCCTCAGGCTGAAATTGCAATAGCAGCTGTGGGCAGTTTCCTCCCAAGCAGACAGAATGAAGGAGGGTCTCTCTCACACACACCGAGCAGTCTGGTTGGTAACTGTCTCAATCACATTTATCAACAGTATGGGAGTCAAGTCAGATGTGTTCACGTTGTGACCCTATAAATCACCCATTGCAACTAACCATGGGAGAAAGCAAGTTAACCAACACTCGCTGAGACTACAATAGATGTAGTTTGGGAGTAAAAAGTCGCAATGATGATCAATAATATGATAAATATTTCACAGGTAGTTCAACCATTAGTTCTAAAAATAATTTACTAGTCTCAGTTTTGCCATTTTTTTTCTTATACAAACTTTAACCAATTAGTAAGAGTACATATTGTACACAGTTGTACATATCTATACAGGCAAAACATGGCAAAAGGTTTACGTAGGAGCCTGGAATTTGTAAACCAAACAAAAGACACTAAAGGAATAAGCAGATGTGCTGTGAACATGTCTTCTTCATTTACATGCTGAGAAAGGGTAGAAATGTTAGCAATCATGGTGCGACGATGCTTGCTCATATTGAGGACATTGAGAAGTATAATAGCAAGACAGAGGTGCCATGTGTGGGACAAGGATCAGAGCTAATATCTGACAATGGACTCAGCGTTGCAGTAAGAATCTCTGAGGTGTATCTGAACCCAGAGGATTAATGAAATCCTCCATTCTGGAATATCACCAGGACACAGATCATTATTTGGTACAAAATCAAAATGTCAAATGGTTTGACAACTGCTCCTCTCTGGATGGGGCTAAGGCACATTGTTAGGGTAGAGAAGAGAATGGGTCACTTCAATTTGAATCTGGGTGTAGCCTCAGCTCATTGATCACAAATATGAAAAATTAAAGGTGGCTTTTCAGCCCCTAATAAAGCAAGGAATGACAGTGTCCTGTCATCTATCCACATCCATGGGGTTGATGGTTAATGAGTTAACACAGTGGCAGGTCTCCACTGGGCAAATCTACAGGGAACATTAAACAGAGTACACTGCTGGGGAAGCAGGCAATGGTGACACACAGTTTGTTAATGGCATGAGAGGAAGAAAGACAGACAAGAGAGTTAACACAGACCGAGACAGACAGACAGAGACAGACAGAGTTGTGAAAGTTTTTGAAGAAAATCCTTCTTACTGAAATTCAATGACCTTATTTATTTTCCATTTTCTTATTTTTCTTTCATTCCCTTTACTTAATCCCTTTATATTCTGTGCGGTGTATATTTAATCATTTATCTTTAATTTAATAATTTAATAATTTAATTTAACAATTAAATTATTATAATTAGAAAATACACAAGTGGCTATACTGCGCAAATTGTCACCCTCCGAAATACAAGACTGAGAAATAAAATGCCGGGTTATGAAGTCTGTCCTAGGCCAGTCTGGGCTTGTCGATTGTACCTACGAGAAAATAATGCACATTCAAGAGGCAACATCATGGGTGTAGCTGAATGGTAACTTTGATGTAGCAGCTACGTACAGTATTCAATAAAAATAAACCAGGAAAATAATTAAATTGTGACATCAGGGATGAAGGGCGAGGTTGGGTAGAATTGGATTATATTCCTTAAAGATGGGTCAATGGATGATTGGCAAGCTAGATAGTGGCCAACTTTTGGTCAAGGCATTCAAAAGAAGGCAACATCATCTTAAAATAATCTTAACATTTGAGCTACTAAAATTAAAGGAAAAATAAGGAAATATTTCTTCCCACAGAAGGTTGTGGAATAGTGTCCCAGAGACTGTATAGGCTGAATCAATTCTATGTTTGAAATGGAGATTGATATTTGAGAAGTAAGGGTATTAAGGTATGTGGAAAAAGGCAGAAAATGAATTTAAAAGATCTGGAAGGACTGGTTAGGTCAAATGGCCTCTTTCTGTGCCGTATCACTGTCTGCTGTACAGTCAGTGCGTCTTGGAGATGAGGCCCATTGCTACTTCTAAGAATGATCTGCTTCTAGCTATTCACACCGACTTTGTCCTCAGCAATCAATCTTGATGAGAGCTCAGGGCATCCCATTGGATCAGATTGTCTCTTTCTTGATGTCTAGGATAATTAATACCATTGACATTTTTCCTTAGAATCATCTTCATATTAAAGCCCCTCACAAACATTTTCAGCAGCGGCACAATTTAAGACATTATGATTAACATAAGCCTAAAGAAGCTGTTACAAGCCGTTATCTCAACAAAATATCAAACATAATTACTATTTTTACAGGCTCAAGTAAACATGCGCCTCAAACCTTTTACTGTGTTCACTCTCAGATGAACTTCTTCACATATTTCGTTTTCTGATAATAGCTGCAATGGGTCAACCAGATTTTGGTCAAATGAATAATTTTATCACAAACACGAAAAGCTGAACTAAAGCCTGAGAAAAACAACCATTTGCTTCCTGGCCTGAAAACAATCTTCAATGTTTGATGAGACTTGATGAGACAGGACCTTGGGACGTCCTCCCGACGTGAAAGGTGCTGTACAAATGTAATTTGTTGTTGTTGAGACACCAGGAAAGGAAACAGAAAAGTATCAGCATTGCAGAGAAAACCTGAACCTCTTCTCTACATCGTCAATTACCTTCCGTGTGTGCCGGCTCCTCCCTCCTTCCTGTATTTCAAACTCTATTTGCAAATGAATGGACTACCACTCCCTGTAGGCGAAGAACTGTGCCCAGGCCACTGCCCTCACACTGGGCTATGATGTATTCATCACTGCTGGGTACACACTTCATTTTATCAGCATATCTCTGTCTTTCAGAGGAGATACAGCAAATATGACAAAAAAGGTCATAAACAGAAAACAATAACTCCCATCACTCCAAGAACAACAAATCAGACATTAAAATAAGGGACCAATAAGAGGCTTGTGGGCAAGGTGAAAGGAGTGAAAACATAAGGAATGTCACTTCCAGTGGACTTAATCCAATGCCTTTCCTCACTTCTTACACCTCCATGTGCCAACGGATAGTGCCAGAGCCACAGAGGTGGAAGCAGTGTTCCTCAGCCTCCACATCCAAATAAACAGGCTAAATATTTGTTGGGCCGAGTTGTCATAAGATAATAACATTTATAAAAGAATGTAGATTACTCACAGCTCATTGCACAAAATGGCAAAATCCCAACCTTGTAAATTACAATAGGAGCCGGGATTAGAACAGGTTTATTGTTCTCGAATGACACAAAATCTTAAAGGGACCACGTCTCAATTCTTCATCCCACATTTTGGTTTTGGCCTTTTTCTAGAAACCGAACAAGTAAGAAATGGTGGTTACATAAATCGCATCGTCATCTGTACCTACCTCGGCATTGCAACTGCAGAGCTGTTACTTTGTTAGATGACGATAAGACTTTGGTAGCAGTTCTGCAACAGACAAACATTGCTGATACCAATTTTAAAAAAACATGAATATTTTTACATAATTAAAACAGAGTGTGCTGATATTGAATGGACTCAAGGAGGCTCCGTCTCGGCAGGAAGCAGGCAAAGTATTGGCTTAATTGAATCAAGGGGTGGAGGCATTGCCACACTGGTCAGGGTATGTAATAAAGTGCTTTATCTGAAGGACATCAGAGTATTGTGTGAATACACTGTAAAAAAGCCTTCTGATCATTCCCTTCGAGAGAACGCAAAAAATCTCATTATAAATACAAATTTAAGTATAAATTACAACCTAGGAAACACCTAGAGCCACCAAAATTATACATTAAAAAAGTGCAATCAGATAGAAAAGAAATGCATCAGATGTTGAGGTTAGTTGCTAGTGATAGTGCACAAAGGTGTGGCGCAAAAGTTCCTCTGCAGACGGCCTCTGTTTGGCCTCTACAAAAATCTTTTTCAAAAAGTCTCGACTGTGATCTGATACATGAGGTGGCAGCTGAGGGTTGGTTGGCTGGGTAGCAATCTTGAATATGGCGGCCATGGCTTCAAACTCAGCCCAAGGGGGCTTCTCAGTGAGCATCTCCACAACAGTACAGCCAACACTCCTGGGAAGAAGCAAAGAGAAAATACACAAGTTACAAAATGAACAATATAAAAGCGAGGAGCTACAACTGTATTCATACAGTGCCTGGTCAGCTCATTTAGAGAGTTGGTTTCACAAAACTGCTGCACCGTTCCCTACAACACACAACTACGTCAAAAGAAGTCTTCAATGACACTAATAACAATAATCCTTGCATTTGATATAGCTCCCGATCACGTCTTCGAAAGCGCTTCACAGAATATACTGTAAAGTGAATTAACTGTATATTTTGTGGGTGAAACACAGCAGCCAATTGAGTTTAGCAGTGTCCCACAAACAGTCATGAATTGAGTGACCAAATTCTTATCTTTTTTTTAAAAAAGGGATTATTACCCCCAGAAGCGATCCGGCAATCGACTAACAACCAGATTTCTGCATACTGCTAGGTAAACAGAGGCGGGTGGAGTAAGAAAACTTACCCAACATTTTGCCCTGCCCGGGAATCAAACCAAAGTCCTCTTGCTTGCATGCCAAGTGCTCTAACTAAACATGTCACCTCGGAGCTGGCTCAGCTCTAAGGAGCCCCCGCTTATATCCCCCTCCCCCCCCACCCACAGAAGGACAGCCACCGGTGGAGTCCCCAAGCCTTGGCACTTGCCAACCTGCTCCCAACATTCTCCAGAACCAGACAAGTAGGATGCGTCCCTTGGGGAGACAACGCACAATCCAATGTTCCTCCTGGTGGCTCAATCGCCTCCAAACAACAATGAACAAATATCCATTTTGGGTTCTGATGAAGGCTGTTGGCAAATCATTAAGCACAATTTTATGTGGCTTCCTCTGGACAATTCTGCAATGTTAGACTTTCCAAAACATTTGGAAACAACAGATACGCTCCATCTTCCTCCCTGTCAAACTCTCCTCCTCATAGGAAAAGGACAGACACATCAGCCCGTTTTAAAACCTACCAGTTTCAACTTACCAAATATCTGCTTTTCTCCCATAGCCTTCGCCACTGATCACCTCCGGACTCATCCAGTAGGGTGTGCCAGTGACCGATTTCATGCTTGTTCCTGACAGACAAATTGTCTGCAGTCTTCTGCTGGCACCAAAATCTCCCAGCTTTACATTGCCAGCAGAATCCCGTAAAATGTTTGCTCCTTTTTAAGCAAAACAAACAGGATTTGTGATATGAAAACAGAATGTATTACAGCAAAGCAAAGCCAGATCACAAGGAGGAGCCGGTGTGGGGGTGGGGGGGGAGGGGAGCCAGTGGGTGCAGGAGCTGGCGGTGGGAGTACCATTGGAAGACTTGTAAAGTAGACTTTACAATGTATTGGGAATTTATTCACTGTAACTTTGGGGAAAATGGAGAAACTACAAGGTGTCAAAAATAAAAAATTTTTTTTTTACTCGTTTAACGACATTATAGTTATGCTGCAACACATTGACACATTATAACATAATGCTTTCCTTCTGCACGACACTGAGCCAGTCCAGAAAGCTTGTCATTCTCTGGATTTGTCGGTGCTCAAAGGGTTAAGTATATGATAATTAGCGGCGGCACCACATACCTTTTATATCTCTGTGAACAATCATATTACTGTGTAGGTAGGAAACTCCTTCCAGGATCTGCCGAGTATATTTACGAGTCACATTCTCTGTAAGCTCCCCATAAGCCTTCAGTTGGTCCTTTATTGAACCCTACAAAAATACAATATCATTACAAAATATAAACACATTATTCAGCTTTCAAACTGAACTGGGAGACACAAGACAGGAATTATGATTATATAATACAGTTCAACCAGCTGATGCTGGCTGATCTGTCGCGTTCAAATATGGGATGTCGACAAACAGACCAACAATGCAGCCACGTGGATTGTGGTTAACAACTACCGAAGTATTTATTTATATGTATTTCACATAAAACACTGTAATTGGAATTATTGTACTGTTACTATTTATACCATTTACTATATTTACATGTATTTATAGGTTGGAATCCTAGCTTCTCCTACAAGAGTAGTTACTGCACTTTATAATGAATCCTGAGAAGCAGTTTGAGATGGTCAATAATATGGTAAGGCAATATATCAAACGCAAGGATTATTATTATGAAATGAACTGGAGTTCAATGCAGAACCTATAATGGCTTTTAAAAGGGAATTAGACTAATATTTGAAAAATAATAATTTGAAAAGATACTGGAGAAAGTGCAGGAGTGGGAAAAATTAGGAAGTTGCTTCAGAGAGTCAGCATAGACATGACAGGCTGAGTGGTCGCCTTCTGTCCTGGTGAATTCTATGATTTGAACATACCTGATAATAATACCGCAAGACAAAAAAAAATAATAAAAATTGGTTACTTCAATCCACGACTGTTTGTGGGACACTGTTGTGCACAATTGGCTGTTGCGTTTCGCCCACAAATATACAGCCATTCACTTTACAGTATATTCTGTGAAGCGCTTTGAGACGTCTAGAAGACGTGAAAAGCGCTATATTAAATGCAAAGATTATTATTATTCATTTTATTTTAAAAGATAATTATTTAAGACACTGTTTCACACAAAATATTTTTTCAATTAGCACTTGTAACTTGTCCAAATACTTACTGCCTTTTTCCATTTCTTTTGATGGTTCAGATTCAGCAATAAATGTATACAATCCTTCACACATACCAGAACTGTACACAGTTCTCCAAATGTGACTAATCAAGGTTTTTATGCAAATTCAACATCACCTCCCTACTTTTATATACTAATTGGCTGCCGTGGTTCGCCCACAAAATAGTCAATTCATTTTACAGTTTATCCCATGAAGCGCTTTGAGACGTCGCCCGACTCCGTCACTACCTCACCCCTCAGGCCGCTGAAACTCTTGTTCATGCCTTCATCTCTCCAGGCTCGACTATGCAAATGCTCTGCTTGTTGGCCTTCCCAACTCCTCCCTCCACAGCTGAAGATAATCCAGAACTCTGGATCCATGTCCTCTCCCGCACCAAACTCCGTGACCCCATCTGCCCCACTCCCGCCCGACTCTACTGGCTCCCTATCCTTCAGAGGATCCAGTTCAAGATCCTGGTTCTCACATACAAAGCCCTCCATGGCCTCACCCCACCCTACCTCTGTGACCTCCTAACCCCCTACCAACCCGCCCGCTCCCTCCGCTCAGCCGGCTCTGGCTGCTCCACGTCCCCCGGCCACCCGCCCCAACCATTGGCGGAGAATCTTCAGCCACTCTTCCCAACCTCTGGAATTCCATCCTCCAGTCACTCCGCCTCGCCCCCTCAAGACCCTCCTCTTCAACCATGCCATTGGCCACCCCCCTTCCCCTCCCCCCCCAACCCCAGCTCGAATCTGAAATGCTTTACTCTGTCCAGCGCCTTGGGACATCCTCCCGACATGAAAGGCGCTATACAAATGTAATCTTGTTGTTGTTGTTAATATGGCGCTACATCAAATTCAAGGATTATTATTATTATAAATTGGTATTTGAGCTCTGTTTTGTGTGGGCTCCTTTATTCGAGAATCGCTATCACATTTGCATAACAAGCCACAATAAACTAACCCATTAGGCAATGCACTTTGAGACATTTCAATGTGATGAGGCTCAAAATCAAATGCACGTATTATTTGATGTATTCCTGTAGTGTTTGATAAGATCAATACACTCACCCCTGGCATATACTCCATGAAAATAGAAAGAGTTCTTTCTTGAGGATCCCTCAAGCAGCCGTAGTATTGGACAATCCGTTCGTGTTGCAGATTTTTCAACAGCTGGATCTCACATTCAAGAGCATTTACCTCCTGAAGCATAGAAATAAGCTAGAAAACCTGACGTGTAAACCTGACGAGCATTTTACTCAGAGGACAAGAGCATGGTAACGTTTATTTATTGCAACACATCAAATGGACATTCCTTTGTGAGGCTTTGCATTAAACTGAAGAACATCGTGTGGCTCAGAGGAAACCCACCTGTTCCGTTCAGCGATTTTCGCAAAACATTTGACCCGGTGCCTCATGATGTCCCCGTGATGAAACTGGAAGCCATGGAAATACATGGCAAATTTGGGATTTTACACAATGACTGACAGCTCCACCAGTTGGAGATGTGGAGCTTGAGCAGAGGCTGGTTACTTCTCTGCAAACCAATCAAGGTGGATTCCAAACCCTGGATATATGAACGAACGCGGATCCAGGTAATACCTTCTATCAGCTGTTATCCGTGTCAAGCCTCAGAGTTTCCTCATCAACTATCTGACTTTGATGTGGTAGGAGAACGTTTACAGGACAGCTTTGAATGTGCCAATCACCTTGACATTCTGGAGGTCTAAGTCCAATATCATATACCAGGCTTACTGAGCACCAGCTGCTTAATCCAGATCCTCATGTGAGGGGCTTTGATAAACAAACTGTGAAGCCACAGTCACTATAGGCCAGAACACTCCCTCCTTGTAGCGACTTCCCATTTATCACAAACCCACCATAAGCACGGTTCAAGGAGAAGGTTTTCAGGCGGGATTTGAAAAAGGGGAGAGAGGGAGCAATGCGGAGGAACTGAGGGAGAGCGTTCCAGAGGTTCCAGTGGCTGAAGGGGTGGCTTCCGATAGTGGGCCAGAGGGTGCGAGGGACGAGCAGGAGGCCGGTGTCAGTCGGGCGCAAGTTGACTGGCACCGGACTGGGGAGAGAGGAGGTAGGGAGGTGCCAGAGAGTGAAGCGATTTGAACACAAATACTCTTTGGCCAAAAAAGGAAAGACAGAAATTGAAATCTGCAGACCTTCAAAATTAAAATTAACTTTGCACCTCACCTTACTGGCCTCAGGACTGTCGGGATCAAACTGAACTTGTTTCACTGCAAGTTCCCTCCCTGTGTCAGCGTCGTAGCACAGATATACGCGGCCAAAGGCTCCCTGGCCCAAAAGTTTCCCCAGCCTCCAGTTTGTAGGAGCTCTCGGAGCTGCAATTAATGCAGATCAAACGTTTCCATACAGCAAATAAGGTAATATCTGAGAAACTAATCTACAAAAACAGTCACTACAATTTACAGTACATTTTGTGAAGCACTTGGAGTTGTCTCAATACCATGATAAGGTGCTGTATCAAACATTATTTACATGTATTGCAAGTGAGGACTCCCAGGAGGGATAATAGGGAGGAGGCTTGCTCACTACCTTCCCTCTCCCCTTTTTATCACTATTCAATCTCTGTCTCACAGGGATTAGGCTACAGTATGTCTATCACAAGAGCCGCTCTAAACCTGTTCTGCAAAACACAGAAATGGTTTGGAAGGGAGGACAAAATTAAATTACCTAAAGTTGTTGATCCCAAACTAGGGCAACTATACACAACGCGGAATAGATTGAGGGATGTGATAGACATGAAAAGTGTCAAATGACATTTACTATGAATAAATAGAGTGCTGAGATTGGGGAAAGAACATGGGAACTTGTTGGCAAAAGACTAAGGTCTATAGAGTTCACCTTCCACCATCCTGGCATTTGCTTGGCATGTCGTGAGCCAATCTATACACTGTATACACAGATATTATATTCTAGCAGAAATCTATCTAATTTGTTCTTGAATCAAACAATATTTTCTGCTTCCACCTTCTCCCTAGAGTCTGATGGATAAGTTTACTACTCGCTCACTGAAGCAGTGTTTCCGCAGATTTGTTCTGAATTTACCCCCCTTCAATCACAGGCCATGTCCTCTGGTTCTACTGTTCAGCACAAAACAGCTTCTCAATGTCTACATTATGTATTCTCTTCAGAATCTTCAAGACTGTAATCTTGTCCTCTTCTCCAGTGTGAACATGCCCAGTTTATCTAATCGCTACTCATAGCCCAGTCCCTCCACCTCCTCAATTATCTTGTTTGCTTTCCTCTATAATCTCTCAATCCGTGGAATATCCTTTTTATATTGCAGTGACCAGAACTACACACAGCGTTCCAAGTGCAATCGCACCAGTGATTTACAAAGTGGCAGGATTATCCCACTATTTCAGCTCAATATTACCCTTTTAATACAGCCTTATCTAGTTTACCTTAATCACTGTTACCAAGCACTGCTGCAATAGCTTCAATTTATTAACAATCAAGATCCCCAGGTCCTTTTCATCTTCCGTACATATTATTTTCTATCATTTAAACAATAGTCCCTTCCTGGATTTTTTGTTCCCATGTGAAGCATTTTGCATTTCTCTACATTAAACTTCATCATGAGAATAAACAATGTGAATATAAATTATGTAGTTTTAGTCTACAAGACACAGGTTAGGAGTGTTGAGGGTCATCGGGTCATCCACCTGATTTGACACTAAAACAGAAGCATTCCCGTTCAGTCTCTTACCAGAACCTTATGATCTCCGGCTAGAATTCTCTTCAATCTCCCCAATTCTCATTCCAGCAAACGGAGTCATTGCACAAACTTGTGGACATTTTGTTTGACCCTCAGCTCTCATTTAAATTGTACTATTGTCCTTAACCAAGACTGCCCTCTTCCATTTCTGGCCTCTAATCCTAGCTCACCCTCAACCAAAAAAATCCTCATCCACACTTTTCGCCTCAAGACTTTATTTATCAAATGCAAATGCATACTGGCCAACCTCCACTGGATCCCTGTCTGCAGTAAAATCTCAACTTGGGAAAGGATGACCTATATTGAAATATTGAGATAATGACTTGGGGACATGCCAAACTGTCATTACATTTCCTATAACAAAACGCTCCTCCACTTACATCCTAACATAGCGCTTGAACCTACAACATCTTGATCTAGAAACAATAGCTCTCCAAATTACACAGCTAACAGCAGTCAGGCTTTACAAACTCCTAAGAACTGACATTCTGCATAACATAATAAAATGCACAAGTTAATTTTTAAAACCAGGCTGATGCCTGAATCTCACAGCGGCTAGGAGGGCTGATGTCCATGACAGATAAGGTAGGATTCTCAATGTCACTTCCTCTTCTCCTTGACCTGTTATCCTCATATTCTGGAGTGAAGATGCTGCTCCCGCTGCTCGTGCTTAATGAATGCTCAGTGGGACTGAAGCTCACGGGAGAGCGCAATGTGTTTCCATGAGTCCTCCGTGCTCTGGGGAACGTTCTACGACCTATGGAGAGAAGCAAGATCAGTAACTGTAATACAGCAGAGATTTATCCACTATTAAATGTAACAGAATTGTACCTGGAGATTTCAACAACAACAACAACAAATGACATTTGCATAGCGCCATTCACTTCAGGAGGACATCCCAAGGCACCGGACAGTTATTTCAAGTATAAAATCTCAGGATTGAGAAAAGCCCACCATCCACCAACTTCCATTTTGCAAGTAATTTAACTCTCTGCCATTGCAACTGTTCAAAATGTTGAATATTCCTGACATTTTTGTAAGAACAGCAACAAATTGCATTTATATAGCGTCTTTCACATCAGGAGGACATCTCAAGGCTCTGGACAGTGAAGGGTTTGCATCCCAGTTGGCAGATGGAATTAAGAGGGGTGGAGGGAAATGGGGGGTGGAGGGCAAGTGAGTGATGGAGATGGGAAGATGACCAAAGGCGCAGTCGAAGAGAAAGGTCTTGAGACAGGCCTTGAAGGAGGCAAGGGAGGGTGCGAAGCGGAGGGCTCAAAAGGAACAAAAGAATCTTTAGGACCAATTAAAGATCATTACAGTTCACATTTCTGAATCCATTTACAAATTTCATCTCTCCCCATCTCACATACAAAACACACAGTAACTACATTATAGTATATTCTATTTGAGGCGTCCTGACAACCTGAAAGGCGGTAACTATTTGCTCGCACCAATGTCTCAAAGAGGTGAATGGCCAATTAATCTGGAGGAATGTAGGCCAAGCTACTGGGACACATAGTGTCAATGTATCTTTAACATCTGAAGATCAGGCAATGGGACCTTGTGTAAAAGTCTCATTCAAAAAAACAGAATGGTTGAGGCACTCCTGCTCAAGGTCTTTCTGTTCTCCTCTATGCTGGCGTGGACACCAAGAGAAACCACCTTCTCTTTTAATAATAATCTTTGCACATCCCGACTCCTTCGTTCCCCCCCGCGCAGGTCATCTCCTCCAACCTTCACTGCGAGGAGATGCTGGATTTCCTTGAATCCAAAATCAAGGAATCCGCTCCGCGGTCACTGCCCCTCCAACTTCCACCCACCTCCCACGCTCCGACTCCTACCCATCCTCCCCTACACACCTTCGAACCCGTTTCCCCACCCTCTGTCACCAACCTCATCCTGTCCTGAAACCCACCAACTGCTCCCTTGACCCCATCCCCACTCCTTATCTCCCAGCTCCACCTCCTTGCCCCACTTCTCACAGACATCACCAACCTGTCCCTCTCCTCTGGCTCTGTTCCCATTCCCCTAAAAACTGCCACCATCACTCCCACTTTGGAAAAAACCCTCTCTTTGATGCGTCGCAGCTATCAAGCTACCGGCCCATCTCCAACCTCCCCTTCCTGTCCAAGGCCCTTGAAAGAGTCGTCGCTTCCCAGCTGCGATCTTTCCTCTCCACCCATTCATTATTCGAACCCCTTCAGTCGGGTTTCTGTGCTGCCCATAGCACTAAAACCACCCTGGTCAAGGTCACTAATGAAATCTTGACCATCTGCGACCAGGGCTCCCTCTGCCTCCTCGACCAATCGGCAGCATTCGATACGGTCGACCACGCTATCCACCACTTATCCTCCCACCTCAACCTTCAAGGCCCTGTCCTTGAGTGGTTTAGGTCGTACCTCTCCCACCATCTTCATTTTGTTTCCACAAACGGCTTTTCCTCCACCCCTCGCACTGTCTCGTGCGGTGTCCCTCAGGGCTCTGTCCTCGGTCCCCTCCTCTTCACCCTCTACATGCTCCCCCTTGGTGACATCATCCGCAGACATGAGGTTAATTTTCACATGTATGCGGATGACACCGAACTCTACCTTTCCTCCTCTACCCTCAACTCCACGACCATCGATGTCCTGACAGCTGCCTGTCTGATATTGAGTCACGGACGAGAGACAACTTTCTTCAGCTCAACATGCGCAAAAGTGAGGCCCTCCTGATTGGCTCACGTCAGCGCCTCCGCACCTCAGGCGCTGACAGCATCAGCATCCAAGGCTGCACTCTCCACCTCTCAAAGCCAGTCAGGAACCTCGGTGTTCTGTTCGACCCTGAGCTGTCCTTTCTTCCTCATATCCGCGCCACAACTGGCACCGCCTTCCATCACCTCCGAAACATGGCCAGACTATGGCACTACCTCACCCCTCACGCTGCTGAAACACTGGTCCACGCCTTTATCACCTCAAGGCTGGACTACGGGAACTCTCTCCTCGCCGGCCTTCCCGGCACCTCCCTCTGCAGCTCGTGTACTGTACCGCACCAGGCTTCGCGACCACATCACTCCCACCCTCGTTCGCCTCCACTGGCTCCCCATCCCCCAGAGGATCGAATTCAAGATCCTCACCCTCACCTACAAGGCCATTCACGGCCTCGCTCCCTCCTACCTCTCCAACCTACTATCCCCCTACTTACCTGCCCGTACCCTCCATTCCTCTGGCTCCGGTCTGCTCCACATCCCCCGCCTCAACCACCCTACCATCGGTACCTACCTCTCAGCCCCGAGGCTCTGGAACTCCATCCCCAGTGCCTTCGCCTTGCTTCCTCCCTTTCCTCCTTCAAGGCCGGTCTCAAGACCTTTCTCTTCGACCATGCCTTGAGCTCCCCTCTCGACTCTCTACCCCCTCCTCGCTCCCTCCCTTCCCTCCCCTCACCCTGACCATTTCCCCCCTTGCTCGGGTCCCGACCCAACTGTCCAGTGCCTTGGGACATCCTCCCGACGTGAAAGGCGCTCTATAAATGAAATCTTGTTGTTGTTTGCATTTGATATAGAACCTTATCACATTGTCGAGACATCTCAAAGCACTCCACTGAATTTTACTGTGAAATGCAGTGATTGTTATTTGTCGGCAAACACGGCAGATAATGTGTAAACAATGTCCTGCAACCATAAAGTAAATTACCAATTTTATTTGGGGGATGGTTACCAAGAATCAAGAGAAAGTCCCCTCTATTTTCAAACAGTGCCATGGCATTTTTAATGTCCGCCTAAACAGGCAGATAGGAACATGGTTTAAAGTCCTATCCGAAGCATAGCAGCTCCCAGCACTGTACTGGAGTGTTAAAGTCCCGATGACGGCTTGAATCCACAACCTTCGCTGTCTACTACTACTACTACTACTAAAGCAGGCAGGCTGATACCTTTTACAATAATGATTGCCTAGACTGAGCCATTATGAACAATGTGATAATTAACACCGATAATAATTAACTTATTACAGGGCTCATTCTTCACCATTAATTATTTAAGCGAATTCACAGTATCAGAATTTTTGTGGCACGATGTGCCTGTCCTCACCGTCACTGTAATCATGGTGTTGGTAAGAGATGTGATACCTCCTTGGGTACGTCCCACCCTTTCCAATCTTCTCAAATGTTGGAATATCACAATCTGTAACATGGAGAAAGGTTAGTGTCACATTTAATTTGGTTAAAAAGGCAAATCTTGAACAAAAGACACTGGACAGTCAGGGATAATAACAATAATACTAATAATAATAATCCTTGCATTTGATATAGCACCTTATCACGTATTCGAGACGTCTCAAAGCGCTTCACAGAATATATTGTAAAGCGAATTGACTGTATTTTTGTGGGCGAATAATGACCTTGGAGTGTTAGCCTAGACTGTCCACTCAATGTCACGATGTGGGGCTTGAACCCACAACCTTTGACTCGGAGGCTACTAAGCCAGGCTGACGTGAACCTGGATAAACAACAGAATACAAGCAATTGTGAGGCTCACCTGAGTAATCCTGGTGATTATCTGGGTAACTTTGTGCCCTCGGCATCCGAGATTTAGGGTAGCTGTCACTGCAGTATAAAGCAAGTCAGTGCAAAGTGCAAGCAGAATTGTCCCATGACCTCAGCAAACTGACTTCACAAATACTAATCTAATATATATATAAAAAATATAATAATAACATACCTGCTAGTTACTTTCCAACAACTCAGAATTCCAAACATTTTTTGAATAATTTATCCACAAAGAATTTAAAGCAAAGCAATTCCCCGCCTCGCCCCCCCAGCCCGCCTTGCCCCCCACTCTCCTCCCCGCGACCCCTTGCTCCCCGCCCCACTTCCCCCGTCCCACCGGCGCCCCCACCTCCTCCCCGCCGCCTCCCCGCCCCCGCCTCCTCCCCGCCCCCACCCCACCTCCTCCCCGCTCCCCCCCGCCCCCCCACGTCTCCCCCCACCGTCCTCCTCACTCCTCCCCCAAGCCCTCTTAACACACAGCCCTGTATCTTTTCACAACCCATCCCTTCCAATACATGGACTGATCCATCAATTCGCTCCCCCACTCTCCTACTTATCACACAATACCCATTGTTTAACAGCAAGCCTGAGGAGCGGTTACCTGTCCAAGGGGCTGTCGAGGGATGGACAGCTGCCGGATGCTGAGTTCTCAGGGCTGCTCATCGACAGAGGATCCAGCATCTGTAAAATATTCAATTGATTCTCGAGATACTCGCTCAGTCATCACTAGATTCTCGCTTATATTCATTCCAATTATTCTACAGCATTTGATTAAGACAAAGGAATCAAGAAACTTTGGCCAATTTAATGCTGGCCAATAATAGGGGATTTTTACTGTATTTGATGCTGAAAAATGGAATGGAATTGGAAAACACCTTGTACTTTTTCCAATGAAGTTCAATTAAACCACAGGCCTAGAAACTGAGTTTGAATTTCAAAAACAACGATTAAATAGAAAGAACAGAAAAAGCAGAATGTGAAAATATTATGAAAGGAAATAAATCTAAAGAATATTTTGTGGCAGTTTTTATGAAAAAGCTTGAGAATGAATAAAGTATTTGTTAATAGATAGAGATTCCAACCTGGTCCATGCTCTCAGGAATGAATTCGCCTTCACTGTTGATGCTGGTGTAGGAACCATTACGTGCCACTTGCTGCTGTCCATCTGGAATGTAGCCTGGAGGTGGGGAGCTCCTGTCTGACGTGTGGGCAGCTAAACAACAACAACAAGATTCCATTTATAGAGCGCCTTTCACGTCGGGAGGACGTCCCAAGGCGCTGGTCAACAAAGCACAAAGTTACTGTCATTACTGTCCTTGCCCAAGTGAGGATCTTCACACTCACCTCCAGCTGTGAACTTGAAAGGATGAGGCTTTTACACAACACCTGAGAAGATTAATGGATGAGCTGGTGGACGCATCAGCCTGGCTCAGTTGGTAGCACTCATGCTTCCAAGTCTGAAGGTTGTGGGTTGAGGCCCCAAACTTGGACTTAGAATTTATAAAGTGTAATGCAGAGTGGGGGTGTTGTACTGTCGGAAGCATCGTCCTTCAGATGAGACATTAAACCAAGGCCCTGTTGGTCTGTTTAGGTGGACTTTGAAGTTCCTATGGCACTACTTGAAAAGGGAATGGAGTTTCTCCCGGTATCCTGGCCAACAATTCTGAATATAAATTGTTCATTCACTTCATGGCTGTTTGTGGGATGCTGCAGTGTGCAAATTGACTGCCGCAATTATCCACAAAACACACAGTCACTACACTTTACAGTGTATCTTCCAGTATACCTAAAAGCGCTATCCGGCGTTACCTTACATGAGAAGTGCTATACCAAATGTCAAAAGGTTATGAATTTTACAACCTGTTTTGATGTGTTTTAGAAACCTACCATTAATGTAACTAGTACTTACCAATCAGTGGAAGCCGTGTTTTCCTCTCTTTGTCCACATAAATTGTGCTATTGTCCAAGTCATCCAACGTTGGTAATGTTTCCACATTGCTGAGGTTTGTTAACTAATTAATAGGGAAATCAGAGTGCGAAATATAGACAAGAACAGGAAATGCAAGGAAAACAAACATCTGCAGCGGTCGAGCCAATTCTCTGCACTAATGGAGAGCAGACCCACTGTAGACAAGCAAACAGAGAAGATAATTGAGCAGGTCACACATTACAAATTGGCTAAAGTTCAAACTAAAATAGTATTCCATTAGAACATAAATGGATACTATAGTACCAAACTGTGCCAACTCTAATGCTTCCCAGCCACTCTCTCGCGCACATTGCTATTTTCTCTTAAGCTCTCTCTAGTGGATTGGGCAGTGAGATGGAAGCTGAAATTTAATGCAGAACAGCTTGAGATTATATATGTTTGATATCAGAGCCATAGAGGGGATCCAAATGAGATTTATTGGGATGATACAGAGACAAGTGGTTTGACCTATCAATAGGGACTGGGTGAACTGGGCCAGTGGATTAGAGGAGGTTGAGGAGTTTTATCAAGGAATCTTGATAGGTCAATGGGGAGAAATTATTTTCACTGGCCGGTGAATCAGTTACTGGAAAGCATCAATGTAAGATACCTCACAAACGAGAAAATCGAGTGATTAGGAGGAACTGCGTACAGAGAGTTAAGGTGTGGAATGTCCAAAGACACGAGGAGATCATAACAGAATCCATATAACCTAAAAATAGATAAACATCTAAAAAAGAATAATTTACAGGGGTTTGCAGAAAATGCCGGTAAACGATATCAAATGCAATGCTCTTTCAAAGAGCCAACACATGCACAAGGGCCAAATGACCTGTGCTGTAAATTGCTGTGGTTCTACTCTCTCACATTCTGCCATTCTCTTGGCCTCAGAATCTTGCTCTCTCAGTCTCCGATGCTTTTGTGATAAACAGCAAAGCAGGAAGCGACATCGGTAACGACCAATTAATCCAGATGTCAGTCATGTTAGTGTAAAACCCAGCCCGCGAGCAGGAATTGGCTGCCAGCTGCCCAGTGAATGGTGTTCTAGCTAAATCTGTAATAGTGAAGTGAGTTATAACCAGGCTGCACTACATATAGGGACAAATACAATGGAGAGAATAGCTCATTGCAGTGAGTATTCTCTCTCCTACACTGTACCTGTAACTTCACTTTATTCACTCTTCCTAACGTTATACCTGGTTATTTGACTGAAGCACCAGCAAAATCTTCAGGCTCTTCATGTGCACACTGCGATCCAGGAGTTCGATGGCTTTATCCAAATCATCCTGCGTGGTCAATGGGATCACTAACTGCAGCATAAACAATAAACATGTTTATAAACATCACCAAGCAAATGGATTTGTTGAAAAACTCCAATAAAACTAACTTACAGGGCCTTCAACGTTATAATTATTTTCTTACGTTCCACCTTTAAGGAACTTCTGCTACTAGAGTGGAATTGTGTGGGGTGAAGACATTAATTTGAAAGGGTGTGGGGTGGTGGGGGCGGGGGGAGTTGAGTGAAGGAACACATTGAATTGTGAATAGGTCAAATGTACTAACAAAAAGTGGAAGATGTTGAGACTGAAAAATGACATACTGTACATCACATTTATTTAAAACAATAAGAAAAGTGCTGAGAGCAGCCTGAAGGCTTCACATGACATAGCAGCAGAGATAGATGCCTGGCCCCAATGCTATTTTAATACTATTGTTTAGTGACACAGGGTGCAAGTCTGTCCTCTTTAACCACCAAATGGATCTATTCATAGAAACACAGCATCACGTGCACAAAGTGTAGGAAAATTTGGAGAAACAAAACCAACGTCAGTTGTTCTTCTCTCACAACTGATGTTTGGTCATTTACAGCTGAAACACATGCACACTCAGCAGGCGACAGGCACAGAGTTATATTTTATTGAGTTATATTCCCTGGAAAAAGAGCGAGATAAAGATATGATCATACCTCATTATTTGTATAGTGTAGGCCCATTGGCTGACCAAAGGCAACCTTGGCTTTTACTCTAATGTCTTCCAAATGAACTGGCCGAGGGAACTGAAGGATTCTGAACCAAAATGAGGAGCACCAGATTAGACAGTCTCTCACATTCAGGAAGTAAAGCTACTTGTGGAACAGTAAGCTGAAAACACTGCATTCAATAAACATCTGATTTACCAAATCTCTATTTGAAGCTGGTACATTTTGTTTATCAGAGTGAGATATCCAATAGATTGTCACAGAAATCTGAGCACAACTCAGTCTCATGCTTATGCTGTGGCATCACCTGCACTGAAGACTCTCAAATCCATTTCCACATCCTATATCTTCACTTAAGTGTTTCTTTTTTAAATATCATAATTGACTCAGGTTTAATAGCCTTATATGTCCTGTGTTTTGTGCTGTACTCCAAGCGCTGAAACGCTATCAGGCATGAAGGGTACTATATAATACAATTTGTTGCTGTAGTAACTGTGTATAGCAGTTCTGTAACTTCTGTGGTGAGCTACATTTCTCACCTTTTTTCACCACGATATTCAAACTTGACTCGAATGTCATTCTGAAAATTAAAAATATATTAAATTAAAAACAAATATAAGAATGTTTGTATATGGTGGCCTAGTGGTTGAGAGCACAGAGGTATTTAGATTCTGACATTGGTTGCTAACCCCACTCAATACCTCAGGAGTTTCTGAAATTCCCTATTGAAACCGGTCAATCACCCCAAGAATGGAGGAATTCTGTTCAACTTTCTCTCCTTAATCTCAGAAATTCAAGCCAGGATTTTAATTATTAATCACGTTTGATTCACATACTGTGAAACCATCTCCCGACGTGAAAGGCGCTCTATAAATGGAATCTTGTTGTTGTTAGCAAAGTGTAATATTTAAAACCCAATCTTTGAATGATTTATTACAACTGTATACCCATTTGTAGCCGGGTATTAACAGTACGTTTATCAGAAAACCATGGACTGATAGCAAAGATCAGTCTTTAACCCTTCACAACAATTCATAGTCGTAGCTTGTGATTAAGGAAATATTAGTGTTTACTATGTACACTGGGTACAATAACAACAACAAATGACATTTACACAATGCCTTTCACGACAGGAGGACGTCCCAAGGCGCTGGACAGTCAGGGATCCACACCCAAGCTGGTGGTTGGGATCAGGAGGGATGGAGATCAGGGGTAGGAGGGCGATCAAAGGCATGGTCAAAGAGGAGGATCTTGAAAAGCGTTTTGAAGGAGGCAAGGGAGGGGGCGAGGCGGAGGTACTGTGGGATGGAGTTCCAGAGGGTGGGGGCAGAGAGGCTGAAGGTCCGCCTGCCAATAGTGGGTCGGGGCAAGTGGGGGAACATGAAGCAGATCGGAGCCCGCTGAACGGAGGAAACGAGCAGGATGGTAGGGGGTTAGGAGGTCAGAGAGGTAGGGAGGAGTGAGGCCGTGGAGGACTTTGAAGGTGAGGACCAGGATCATGAACTGTATCCTCTGTGTGATGGGAAGCCAGTGGAGTCGGGCGAGGATGGGGGTGATAGGGTCACGGAGCCTGATGCGGAAGAGGTTACGGGCTGCAGAGTTCTAGATGATCTGTAGACTGAAGGGAGGAGTTTGGGATGCTGACAAGCAGGGAGTTTGCATAGTCGAGACTGGATGTGATGAAAGCGTGTATGAGGCTCTCAACTGCCTGGGGTGAGAGACAGTGGCGGTGCCAGACAATGTGGTGGGAAAAGGCGGAGGGGGTCATGGCACAGATGTGGGGTATCAAGGACAATTTAGGGTTGAACAAGTGACAAAGTTCATTATTGGTGCCGTGAGGTGGAGAGTGCATCCATGAAGGGTGATGCTATCAGTGCCTGAAGTATGGAGGCATTGATGGGAGCCAAGCCTCGGTCTTGTTGACGTTCAACTGGAGAAAGTTTGCTCTCATCAAGGACTTGATGTCTAACAGGCAGTCTGTGAGGACAGCAGTGGTCCTGGAGTTAAGAGTGGAGGCGAAGAGGTAGTATTGAGTGTCAATTCCATACATGCGGAAGTTGACCCCATGTCTACGGATGATGTCACCAAGAGGAGCATGTAATTGTTGAAAAGAAGGCGACCAAGGGCAGAGCCCTGAGGGACGCCACACATGATGGTGTGGGGCCTGGAGGAGAAGCCGTTAGTGGAAACAAAATGGAGATGGTAGGAGAGGTAGAATTTGAACCAAGCAAGGGCAGGTCCGTGAAAGTTGAGTTGAAAGGAGAGATGATGGAGGAGGTTAGAATGGAGGATAGGGTACACTGGGTAGACTGAGTGACAGCACCAATATTACATTTTTTATTTAAATTAACTTAACCCATCACAAAGCATATATATAATCTGTTGTTGTTGTCATCTTAACCGTAGCCATAGATAGAAGATGATAAAGAAATTTATTTCACACAGAGGATTTTTCGGATATATGGAATGCTTTATACAAATGGCTGTTAAAGCTGAGTTCATAACAGCATTTAAAAGTGAACCAGATAAATATGTCAAGAACAATGTTAGAGATTATGGATAGATAAGTGTTCTGGAATGCCACCCCGCGTGAAGGGTGCTATATAAATCCAAGCTGTTGTAGATAGTTGCAGTCCAAATATTCTGCTTTTATTGTATTGAGCTTTTCCGCTCCTGTTTTTAACTCAATCCAGATGATTTCATATTTCTTTCCCTGGAATACCAATTCACCTTTTTTGTTCTATCCTGTATAGGTTTGAATTTTTACCACATTCAGCTATTTCTGGTTATGAAGGTGCACATTATTTATATTCTGGGGTTTCTAAAGATGCTGTGCAGAGCCACATTGTCTGATACATATGCATATTATACCACAGTCCGACTCCGTGCTCCAAAGAGATGTGATACAAAAACAGTAACGTTTTCCTATGTGATATGCACTGGACAAGAAGCTAGAGCTGTACAACAACAACAACATGCATTTATAGAGCACTCTTCATGTTGGGTAACATCTTGGAGCGTTTCACAGGGACATAGTTATCAAACAAGAAAGAAGGGGAAGGTGGCTTTAGGAGGCCAAAGAGGTAGGTTTGAGGCGGGAGGTGAACAGGGAATGCAGAGATAGTGGGTGGGAATCCCAGAGGTTGAGGGTGTAGAATTTGAAGTCTATCATCGATAGTGATGAAACTAAGGAGGGGAGTCACAGCAAGCCCAGAGGAGACAAGCAGAGGGGTGGGGTAGGGGAAATGCTCAGGCACAAAGAGATTAAATAATAATAATCTTTACATTGGGATAGCACCTTTTTAAGTCAGGAAAATGTCCCAAAATTCTTCACAGGATAGACTGTAAAGTGGAGTGACTGTTGTCACGAACACAGCAGCCACATGACAACATCTCACAAACAGCCATGGAATGAGTGACCAATTTTATTTGGGGAGATTGTTGTCCTGGATACCAGGAGAAACTCGCTTCTCTTTTCAAATAGTGCCATAGGATCTTTACAGTCCATTTAAATAAGCAGATGAGGCCTCAGTTTAACATCTCATCCGAAGGACAGTTCCTCCAACAATGCAGCAGCAACAACTTGCATTTAGATAGCGCTCCTCCCTCAGGGCAGCATCCCAGAGCACAGGACAGCCCACCTCCATCACCGCACTGTGGTGTCTCTTGATTTATAGGTAAGGGGAAGGATCTTAAAATTTATCTGCTCACAGCCAGAGAGTCAATGGAGCCTGACGAAGACTGAAGTGATGGGAGTACACTGCGCTTTCGATATTACACAGGGTCCACAGTACACAAATGTTATAAATGCATAATATAATAATAACATAAATATATTATTCTAAATGGATCCAAGCTTCTTAGGGAGTATGTAATTAAACTATAGTCAGAGCACAGGCTGGACTCTACTTTGTGTTCACATTCACACGTACCTGATTATTGGAGGAAGTGGCTTTGGGTTTCCCTGCATCATGTAAGGACAGGACGGGACGGCTGGCCATGTGGAGCACTGCCAGATCCTGCATGATTGAGTTTAGAGCTTGCTGCTCATCTACAAAATATTTAATTTAAACAGTACATCATGAGCATTCACTAAAGCATTTTCCAAGGGATTATATTTTCAGAAAATCATGGAAAGAATTCAGAGGAATTTTAGTTTTTTTTAAACTCTCTTTTAATGGAACCACCACTGACAGTAATAAATCAACCATTTGAAATACAACAGGCATGCTTGCTCAGGTATCATATCACCAAGTTCACCACAAAGAGTTGAGCAAACTCAATCCTTCCTTATTATTATTATTATCATCATAATTAGACAAGCTGGAGCTTTTCAATCTTGAAAGAAAATGACTGAGAGAAAGGCTTATATTTTAAATGGGACTGAAAAAGTAAACCCAGAACAATACTTTTGGATGCAGAACAAGAGGACAACAGTTTAGAGTTGCAAAGGGCAATGTCACGATAGATACCAAGAAGTTTTTCTTTACCCAGAGGTTAATTAACAACTGGCAAAGAAAGGAAGTTCACTGGACTCATTTAAACAACAGCCAAACAATTTAAACTAATTTTGAACAAGAGATGGGAGTTTCTCATGGTGCCCTGGCCAACGATTCCCCAAATAAAATTAGTCATTCACTCCATGGCTGGTTGTCAGACATTGCTGTGGGTAACTCTGCTACTGCATTCACTTACAAAATTACAAAGTCACAACACTTTATAGTAAATTCTGTGAAGTACTTTGGGATGGCCTAACATTAAAGGCATTGTACTAAATACAATGATTTGGAGTCCTGTAGCTCAGTGGTTAGAGCACTCGCTTTGCAAGTGAGAGACCTGAGTCAATATACAGTCAATTCACTTTACAGTGTGTACTGTGAAGCGCTTTGGGACGTCCTTCCGACGTATCAAATACAAGGATTATTATTATTATTATGATTGATTATGATAATAATAAGCCTTGCATTTGATATAGAGCCTTATCACGTCTTCGAGATGCCTCAAAGTGCTTCACAAAATATACTGTAAAACGAATTGACTGTATATTTTGTGGGCAAAACGCAGTAGCTAACTGCGCACAGCAGTGTCCCACAAGCAGTTGTGGATTGAATGACCAAATTATTATTTATTTAATTAATTTTTTTGAAGGGATTATTACCCCCGGAAAAACAATCTGTCAATCGACTAACAACTGGGTTCTTACTTACTGCTGGGTAAACAGAGGCATGTGTTGTAAGGAAACTTGCCCAACGGTTTGCCCTAACCGGGAATCGAACAAGTCCTCTCACTTGCAAAGCTAGTGCTCGAACCAATAAACTACAGGACTCCACTTAACCATTAAGATGATTAATCTACAGGAGTATGGGGAAAAGTCAGTTAAATGAGACTGAATGGATTACTCTTTCAAAGAGCCAGCACAGACAAATGGGGCAAACAGCCTTCTTCTGAGCTATAAATTCTTGTGGCTCTGTTTCTATGTCCCAGCTACACAACTCTGCAGACTGCAGCACCTGAAGTTAATAATTTTCTATGTCCTCCTGACCTGAAAGGTGCTTTACAAATGTAATTTGTTTGTTGCTGTAATTAATTTGATTCAGCTCCATCACAGCTGTTGAACTCAGCAAATCCTACAATCACAACTATTACAACTCTTGGTAGGAATTGGAGTTTAAACAACATACTTAAGATACAATTAAACAGAATTAAAAGTGTAACCTGGCTTTAGTTATCATAATAATATTCTTGCAAATAATATTGTGCAGTCTGGTATCCACCTGGTACCCTATAACAACAATCTGAGGTCAGGAATCATTTCCTCACACAGAAGGTTGTGAACATATGGAACACTCTGCCTCAGAAAGCTGAAGAGGTGGAATCAATAGGAGTGTTTAAAAGAGAAAGATACTTGGGGAGTGGAGGTTGAAAGGCTCCCATCATATCTCATTTTGATGAAGCACAAGACTCACCCATAATGGCAGCACGTGGCCAACCAATCTTCAACAAGTAGGAGATTGTCCCAGCAACATTCTAAGCTGTACCTAAAATGTCAAAAAATTAACTTTTAGTCTTACATTTGAAACAAGGAGACATGATGAACAAGGTCATTATTTTTCTCTTATTGGTTTATGCCTTTTGGTTGAGTGTCTGACACATGCAGAAACCCATCACCACACTTAAGAGTATCCATTGCACATATGGATGCCGTGTCTGGCACGGAATATACCTCCATCGTAAAGGAACACACCCTACTTACCTAAGTGGAGTCCTGTAGCTCAGTGGTTGAGCACTCGCTTTGCAAGCTAGAGACCTGAGTTCATTTCCAGGCACAGGGCGAAACCTTGGGCAAGTTTCCTTACTCCACACGCCTAATAATAATCCCTCCAAAACCAAAAACAATAATAAATTGGTCATTTTCAATCCATGACTGTTTGTGGGACATTGCTGTGCGCAATTGGCTGCCGCGTTCGCCCACAAATATACAGTCAATTCTCTTTACAGTGTGTTCTGTGAAGCGCTTTGGGACGTCCTCCTGACGTGAAAAGCGCTATATCAAATGCAAGGATTATTATTATTATTATTATTATTATTAATAGAGTATTAGGCACAGGTTGACAAGACTGATGAGCCAGGTTAGCTGATCAGACAACCGAGATAGCCTTGGAGTACTGATTCAATTCTGACATTCCATTGCCAATTATGTCAACTTGGAGCCAGCGCAGCTCCAAGAAGAAGCAGTTTTATGGTTAAAATCTCAGACAATTGGGTTTAAATGGTTCCTAAAAAAAGAACAGATCATTTTCAAAGAGTGAAAACAACTTGGTGGGAACTTTATTTTCTGTGAATCGTTTTGCTCATCAAAATAATAATTCTTGCATTTGAAATATAGCGTCTTATGTCATTGAGACATCTCAAAGCACTTCACAGGATATACTGTAAACTGGATTGACTGTGTATTTTGTGGACATTTTGTCCCACAAACAGCCATGGAGTGAGTGATCAATTTTATATTGGCTAGGGCAGCAGGAAAAACACTTCTCTTTTTGTATAGTTAACAACTAATGATAGCTAGCTGTAGATCAAGTTAAAATAATAATCCTTTCATTTAATATAAGTGCCTTTCAAATCAGGAGAATGTCTCAAAGCTATGCTTTTGATTTTTAGATTTCGAATAGTGCCATGGCATCTTTAAGTGTCCACCTGAATAGACAGACAGGACTTCTGTTTAATGCTTCATCCAAAGGACAGCACCTCTGACAATGCAGCATTGCATTTGAGTGTCCAAATAGACTATATGAGGTTCAATCCCAACGTGGAGGTTGAACCCACAATCTTCTAACTCAGAGGCAAGAGTGTTACCAACTGCTCGAGGCTAACAAACAAAGATGACACGTGACTGGAGGCTGTTCTGCTCAACCTCATCCAAGAAAGAAAAAAGTCTTGTGTCTAATACAGCAAAGCACACAGTAAATTAATCACTGATTCAGGTTGATTCAGACTTGGTTTGAGAAAAGAAGGCAGAATTAGAAAATCAACAGATGGAGAAATGTGAACAAAACAGCTCTGCAGAAACTAATGAAAGCGAGGCTCTTCAAGTCTCTCTCTATATATAAAGGAATTAAAGACTACAGACTTGTAAGTTATCTGCACATCACTGAAGAACCGTGACAGACAGGGAGAGAGACCCAAGATGGAAGATGTAGGGAAGACTTCAAAAAGCCGGGCCAGAGGGAGGGGGTGGAGAGTTACTTGACCAAAACAGTCCCAATTTGAGACACAGCTATAATCTGACTGTTATTGCGCTGCTCTTGGCTCTGGAGTTTAAATACAGATTTATTTACAAGAGTGAACAAGGAAAGCTGATGACAAACCTGTTATTTCTGTCTCTGGTCACTTCAGCTCTACAATCAAACATTAACTCCACAATTACCGCCCTTCACTGGTGCAGCAAACGGGAGTTTGGGACAATCTGCACCGTTTCTGGTCTGGAGCTAAAATCCCAGTTAATCCGAGTTGTAGTCGGTGTCAGTCAGGCCTCGGCCTCGCTTAGGCCCAGCGGTTATATCCTGACCTTTGTGTCCGGGCCGAGCCTCGCGCGGGGCGGCACTAACCTGAGTCACTGAGAAACTCGAGAGCAAAGCCAGGACACAGGCCCCGGACACAGGCCCCGGACACAGGCCCCGCTACACCAACCGCCACCGCCGACACTTTGCTCCTTTTTCAGCCAAAAAATGTACCTACCCCGAGGCGAATCCACACTGAGCATGCGCAGGACCAGTGAGAGCGAGGCCCAGGCCGCGGGGGGGCGCTGTGTGTGTGAGGCCGCGGGGGGGGGGCGCAATGTGTGTGTGTGTGTGTGTGTGTGTGTGTGTGAAGCCGCGGGGGGGCGCAATGTGTGTGTGAGAGCCCGCGGGAGGGCGCTGTGTGTGGAGGTCGCGGGGGGCGAGCCCTGTGTGTGGAGGCCATGGGGGGCGGGCGCTGTGTGTGGAGGCCGCGGGGGGGCGCTGTGTGTGGAGGCCGCGGGGGGGCGCTGTGGGTGGAGGCCGCGGGGGGGCGGCCGCTTTTTTTTGTGGAGATGCCCTAAATCTGGAGAATTTTATAATAGTTTTTATATTAACAATTCTCCAAAATAAAATGCGACAATCAGTTCATGGCTTTTGCGGGATTATTGCAGTGCACAAACTGGCTCCTGTCAGTCACCAGACTTCACAGTATATCCTGTGAAGCGCTTTGGGGCAACCTCTCCCTGTGCGAGGTGCTCTATCAAATGCAAGGAATATTATTTTATTATTTTCTTAATTTTCAGTAAAAGTTTAAAATCATAAATAAATTTAATGTAGAATTCGCACATAAAAATGATTGTGCCTGATATCAGATTTGGTAGTAAATAACCCATATTTATTGCATGAATCCAACATACCTAAAAAGGATTTACTAGTAATGTATACAAAGTCTGAACATGAACTTATTAATGCGCTTGTCATATGTTGTAATTGAAAGTGTGCTGAAGCCTTGAGTAGCTTCCCTTTCTTGTTCCATATTCCACTGCACTAGTCCTGGTCCAGGGCACACAAATCTTCATTTTCCTGCAAAGAACAGAAACAAATGTGTCTGATTATTGAGGTACAATGGCAGAGAGTTGGGAATATGTTCCCCCTGGATCTGGAAATATTGTATGATGCAGGTTATCACATAACTATCCATTTAATAATATAATAAATTTTCATTGGGGTTAATAATAATCCCTGCATTTGATATAGTGCCTTTTCATGTCATTGAGACTCTCAATGCTTTACAGAATATACTGTAAAGTGAACTGATTGTATATTTTGTGAGCAAAACGTGTCAGCCAATTGCACATGGAAGTGTCCCACCAAAAGCCATGAATTGAGCGACCACATTTTTTTAAGGGATTATTACTCTCAGAAAAGTGATCCACCAATCGACTTACAATCGGGCTCCTGCTACTTACTGCTAGGTAAACGGGTGTGTGGAGTAACGAAACTTGCCCAACGTTTTGCTCCGCCCGGGAATCAAACCCAGGTCCTCTTGCAAACGAGACAAGTGCTCTACCCACTAAGCTATAAGACTCCACGAATTAATGTCAACTGTAGTGACTGTATTTAAATACGTTAGCCATTTTGTGCACAGAAAGAGCTCACACACAATTCATGAAACAAATGACCAATTAATCCAGAAGATTGTTCGTCAGCACACCATCTTTTTTTGAATTCTGTAAACTTTGTGTGTTCAAGTCCTGATGCGGGGCAGTAATCCGCCCGACTACGCCACTACCTCACCCCTCAGGCGCTGAAACTCTTGTTCATGCCTTCATCACTCCAGGCTCGAGTATGCAAACGCCCTGCGTGTCGGCCTTCCCAACTCCTCCCTCCACAGGCTGCAGATAATCCAGAACGCTGCAGCCCGTGTCCTCTCCCGCACCAAACTCCATGACCCCATTCTCACCCAAATCCATTGACTCCCTATCCTTCAGAAGATCCAGTTCAAAATCCTGGTCCTCACCTACAAAGGCTTCAATGGTCTTGCCTCAGCCTATCTTTGTGACCTCCTAACGCCCTACCAACCCACCCGCTCCTTCCGCTCAGCTGTCTCCGGCCTGCTCCACGTCCCACCATTTTCAGGAGAGCCTTCAGCCACTCTGCCCCCAACCTCTGGAACTCCATCCCCCAATCTCTCCGCCTCGCCCCCTCCTTAACCTCCTTCAAGTCCCGCCTCAAAACCCTCCTCTTCGACCATGCCATTGGTCACCCCCACTTTCCCTCCCCTCTCTTCTCCCCCCAGAGCCCAGGTCGGGTCTGAAATGCTGTACACTGTTCAGCACCTTGGGACGTCCTCCCGACGTGGTAGGCACTATACCAATGTAATCTTGTTGTTGTAATGGGCTTATTATGCAAATTACTCAGTAATTAAATAAAACAAGTTATTTATTTCCTCACAGTCTAACTACAGTCGAGCCCTGGTATAATAATATGGTTGGGGTCGATAAAATTCCAACCAGCCCCATAACTGGGGGTGCTTCTGCATTCACTACACATGTGCACAGAAAGACAGCCTTGCATACTATAATAGCTCTAATTCTGATTTATTGATAATGTAATGGGTTTGCACCAAGGGGGTGCTTTGTGTGTTTTAAAAATATTTGTTTAAAATTGGAGGAGTTCAGTCCAGCAAACAAGCAATGAAAATATAAATTGTCTAGCAGTTGGATGAGCCAATGCTATCACTGTATCACAGCCTCACCATAACTCAGCTGGATATTTAGTACTAATTCTAGACATAAAATTCTATTGCACAGAATGATCATGCTTATTAACTAGCAGTAATCTCACCTCGGATTCCTTATCCTCATCAGACGAAGAAAGAATGCACGTTTCATTACCATCTCCGGGATCAGAATCTAAAACATAACCATTATTCATCACAGAAAAATCAAACATCAGAATTTTTTTTGCCTTTTGATCAAATAATTGTGCATTCAAACCATACATCGGGACTTGAGCTCACAGTCTAGCCTGACATTACAGTGCAGTATTGGGGGAGCACTGTCAGATATGCCGTCCTTCAGGTGAGTCATTAAACTGTCCACCGACACAGGGGGAATGTTAAAGATCGTAATTATTGATATATAAATAAACATTTGGTCATAAACTACATTCTCAGTTCTAAAATGTATTTACCTGGTATCCGGGATTTAGATTCTAAACCATAACATTTGTCATGAATTGCTCCTGTGATTTTTAGGGGAAAAGAAAAGAATAATTTACATACTTGGCAGCATTTCATTCTTTGAATTAAAAGTATCCTTCACATACGAAAAGTCAGCCAGCCTTCAGGTTAGTGGGGAAGAGTGGGAAACACAAGACCAATGTAATTTTCAATTAATTTGTTGTAGATGATGTCGTTGATGTCATTTATGTGATCTTGTCCTTCTGGAGTCAGATGTAATACTTGCGTCTCCAATGTCAGTTCAGTTTTTAACCCCAAAGACTCTCTCCTCTCCCCCGCCCCCCACCCCCAGCCCCTGAAACCACCACGGATTTGCCATTATAATTAATTAGCTGTACCCGTGGCAGCTACACTTGCAAACAAAGGTTCCAATATGGAATGTAGATTTCAGTGGTAGATTTTTACCACTCACAAACCATTTAACATGCCATAAATACTAAGCAAAACTGCCATACAATGTGTGATCACTTTAACCCTCTCTCCTCCCTCTCTTCCACCTGACACACTCACTCACACGCAGGCTCATATAACCTTTCCATTTTCCCCCCTCCATCCCTCCCCCAAAAAACCTTCTCTCACCTCCTCATTCTTACCCTCGAGAGTTTATGGGACTCGGCATATTTTATTTTGAGGGGGGTGGGGGAGAGATTTAATTTTAAGAATGCAGCATTGAATTTTTTTCATCACTCTCTTCCATTCTTTCCTCTCCCAATGTATCTCTCTAGAAGGGTGAGGGAATTTCCTCTGTCACTATTTTGTTACAGAATACGAGGCATACCTCATATTTTGGGGCTTAATTAAAGCATTTTTAATATAACTCATCAACGACAGGAGATCCACGAAAAAAGATATGCCCATGACACTCAACCATGCAAGATCTTTCTGATGAGATATAAATCACGTCTCCAGGCCAATCAGTTATTGCATTTTTAGTGGACAGACAGATTCGTCTTTATTAGTAAATAGGTATTCTGGAAGTAATCTAGTAATCAGGTATTTTGGAAGCCCTGGGCATTAATGTACAAGAAGGTGTCTGTGGAGGCAGTCAGTACAGGATGAAAAAGCAAGACATTTGAAGTTATAATTTTTTTTGTGAGTTGGCATATAACATCAAGTAAACTTACCTTTGTCAACAATGGAAGGTAGAGAATTAAAGTCCCTAAAAAGTAACAATAAAATGACATCACTTAAAAAAATTGTAATTACATTACTGGTATAGTAGGGTTTCATTTCTGGTGGATTTTCCCCGAAAGAGTTATTAAGGTAAAAGTTACATTTTATAACAGCATTTTGGTCACCTGGGTGTCTAACCCATGCAGAAACTTTCCAGAGGTCACTGTGTTGAAGAGATCACTGTGCTGAAGTTCCATACATGCCGCTACCTATACATGGGAATTTTCTTATGTCTGGAAAGTACACTCACTCTCTCTAGAAGAATGCACTGTGCTTACCTAAATCCAGAATGAGGTAGTTTATGTGGGAATATTAATATTAATACCAATTTGGCATCTCCCGACCTTCTCACTCCGCAATCCACCACCCATCACCTCCACTCGACTGGCACAGGCCCCCTCCTCATCCCTTGCACCTGCCGCCCCACCATCGGAGGTCACACTTTCAGCCACTATGCCCTGAAACTGCGGAACGCTCTCCTCCATTCATCTGCCTCGCCTCCTCTCTCCCCTTTTTCAAGTCCCATGTGAAAACCTTCCTCTTCGACTGTGTTTCAGCCCCCACCCACCACCCCCCACTGGCTCAGAGTCAGGCTCCGCTACTGTTAAGCGCTCTGAGACACTACCCTGCGTGGAGGGCACTATATAAGTGCAAGTTATTGTTGTTACTGTTGTACCAATTGTTTATAGTGTGTGAATGAGCAGCCAATCAGAATGAAGTCCTAGATACCCCCACAACATACT